TGAAGCAACCGTGCCTATCAGCAGTAATGTTCATAGGGTACTGGATGCCTGCTGGAAAGAGCAGTTCTCAAACTTTTTGGTCTCAAGACCTTTTGTTTATGTGGGTTGCACATATTAATGTTATATTTAAAATGAAAGGTTATAAAATATTTATTCACTAAAAACATGTGTTAACATAAAGAACATTTTCATGAAAAATGTCAATTTTCCAAAATGTCAAAAGACGGAGTGGGAAACATGGCATTGTATTTTATTTTCTGCAGACATCTTTACTGTCCGATTTAAAGAAGACAGATGGGATCTCATTTGCTTCCACATTCAGTCTGTTGCAATATCACACATCATGTCCCCTCTAGTAAATGCTCCTGTACACTCATGAAAAAGTGAAAAAAGAACAAGAATAACATCTTAATATAATTATGAAAATAGTTTTGACCTTGCAGACCCCTTGAAAGAACTAATCTTGTAAAGCAGTGATTTGCAGTGATCTTCAAGCCTTAATGCATAGGATCACCTGAAAAGCTTTTCAGAATGCCTATTACCTGCCACCTACCACACACACATTTTAACAATTCGTTGTATTTGGGATGGGTCCCAGATCTCTATATTTTTAATCTCCAGTAATTCTTAGGTATGTAGTAGGAGAACCTGTCTTCAGGAAATCCTGCACTAAGCTTCCACCCTACGAAAATAAAACCTGCATGCTTCACCACGGCAGTGTAAGACCCGACTGAAATGGGGCTGTTAGACCTTTAAGTTTTATCCTAATCCCCCACAGTTTGTTCTTAAACTGTCCTTCCCTCCCCCCACCCCTTAATGCTGAACTGATCATGAGATAAACTTGTGCTTTATCTTCTATAAGTACAGCTGAGACAAGGCTGCAGTATTTAATTGAGGTTTTTATTAAAGGCTCAGGGATAACAAAAGGGAAATAGACACATAACTAGATGACCTGGTTTATAAGATATATCTTCTGTTTGAAATCCATTTTGAGAATGCTTGCTTTTCTAGCTCTCAGTTTTCCACATGGTAGAGTTCTGTCGTTTTATCAGGGAGAGGGGGAGAACAAAGGAGAGCCTTTTCCTTTTGTCGTTCACCCTCAGAAATAAACAGACACAAAACAGAAAATATTTATTGTCGGTAACGTTTACGGCCATGATAGAGCCCTCTTGCTAGTGAAACAAAAATAATGGCATTCTTAAAGTGAGGGGATGCTAAGATCATAAATAACATAATTGTTGATATATTTTCAAGAATCTGTAAGAAAATGTTTCATATAGGCCTATCATGAAGCATTTTATAATTTTCCTTTGCATAAATATGTCAATTTGTGATTCTCCATATATTTATATGAGGGGGCTTCTTGTTGGAAATATTGTTCTCATATGTATAGAAAAGCCTCCCTTGTGGGTTTTCAAGTTTACCATAATTATTATCCAGAAGACATATTGGAAGTTTTCTTGGGTGTATATGTAGAGTACACCACAGTGAGAAGTTCTTTAGAGAAACACCTATCATCAGCAATAACCCTCATTTTTGTAACTGTGAAAACTTTAACACAGGTGATATTCTCAAAGGTTTTCTAAGGTGAGAACCACCTCATAAAGCTTTTTACGTGAAAGTTTAAAATTCTAAAATTGCTAATTAAATGTCTAATATAGTCCAAACATGTTGACTTTAGAAAACAAACTGAATTTTGCAAAGGAAGGCAAACTTGAAAATAAGCCAAAAAAAAAAAAAAGCCAGCATCTTCGGTGTGATACAATCTGACCTAAGTAGTTGTTTGAAAACTGGCCTCAATCAGTTTAAAAGCATTGTTAGGCCTATTATATAGAAGTACATATTGAATTTTACAAATTTTAATTTATTGGTTAAATTACTATGCATTATCCAGATTATAAAGGTGGTCTTATTTATTTTATATACTTCTGTCATTTAGAGTAGTTTTCATTTTACTTAATTGTCTTGAAATTATGCATGCATCTATTTCAGTGCCTTAAAATATTTTGAAAGCAATCTTGATAATGGTTAAAGAACTGTTGTCTTAAAGATGAAACACTGTTCATTAAAAGGATCTGTGAAATAATTTATATTTGTTTGTTATAAATTAGTTACATATAGATGCATTTGTCATTTTTATTTGCAAAGACATTCAGTTTGAGAATCAACGAACATTTATTAGGTGCTTTCTATTTGCCAGGTACTTTAACCAATGTTACTTTCATTTAATACTCAGAAGTGTTAAAATGTGATATTTTTAAACTCAGTGGTTGTGTTTATTTCTTTCACCACCCTTTGTGTCCTTAGTCGAACTACTTCAATGTAGTTGAAGACTCCTTAGTATGATTTACTCCTTTGTTCTTTCTCAGTAGAAGCCTTTTAAACATTGCTCATCACACCGAATCTTCTAATAGAAGTGGCTTATTCAGTAGACTAATATTTCACTCTTTGTCATTTGATTTAAATGTATGTTTTTTACATAGACAATTCATATCCATTGGAGAAAATTATACAGTTATGCTGAAATGACCTTTAGCTCACCTATTATTCCGCCATTCAGAGATAACCACTAATAACATTTTGGTGTGCATCTTTACAGATATTTTTAAGTGTACCAGTATTCAGTTTTGTTTTAAAAAAACAAACTTCTTGGAGTAGGAAATGGCAACCCACTCCAGTATTCTTGCCTGGAGAATTCCATGGACAGAGGATCCTCATGGGCTACAGTCATAGGGTCGCAAAGAGTTGGACACGACTGAGTGAATAAACCTTTGAAATAAGCAAAAAACAAACAAACAAACTTCTTGGTTATTGTAGGCCTGTTTTATTTATGGAACTCTATTGGTCCTTAAAAATTCTATTAGGACTATACTGTCACTTTAAATAGAATAGTAATGGGGGGAAATGCCTTTTAGTTACATTTCTGTGCAAAAAAGGGAAGGAGGGTTTTGGGGTTTTTTTGGTTCCCCCCACGCCACTTCCTTTCAAAATTAAACTTGTGGTAGTATATGGAACAAAGTATTGTGAGTGATGTGTTTCCAAACCTCCTAAAACTGCATATATAGTGTGTTCAAATTAAATTATTCAAAGAAACTTCAACTTGACTTTGTTTAATTGTCTCCACCCTCAGTTCTTGGCAACAAGTCTAGGTTCTTCCTGTAGATTTACCTCTATGTACATTTCATGTAAGTGGAGTCATACAATATTGTAGTCCTTTGTGACCAGCCTTTTTGCCACAACATAAAATTTCAAGGTTCATCCAAGTCCTTTTTATTGCTGAATAAAATTGTATGAATATTCCTAACATCCTAAATATTCACCCATTAGTTGATGGACATTTGGGTTGTTTCCACTTTTTAGCTAATTATAAATTCTTTAGTTCTCAAGGGCTTCCCTTGTGGCTTAGCTGGTAAAGAATCCACCTGCAACGTGGGAGACCTGTGTTTGATCCCTGGGTGGGGAAAATCCCTGGAGGAGGGAAAGGCTACCCACTCCAGTATTCTGGCCTGGAGACTCCCTTGGACAGAGGAGCCTGGCAGGCTACAGTCCATGGAGTCCCAAAGAGTCAGACAGGACTGACTTTCACTTCATTTCTCTTCACTTTGTGTTCAAGTTATTGTGTGATCATGTTTTCATTCCTCTTACATCTTTAGAAGTGGAATGGCTGGATCATATAATTTCATACCTAACTTTTGAAGAACTGCCAGACTTTTCCAAAGCACCTGCACAGTTTACATGACCACTAGTAATGTATGATTTCCCACATCCTTCCCAATCACTGTCATTGTCTTTGAAATTACAGCCTTTCTAACAGAGTGGTTTCTTGTAGCTTTGTTTCCCTAATGACATGAATGTCTTTTCATGTGCTTATTGTCCATTTATAGACTTGGAGAAATATCTATTCAAGTCCTTCACCCAGTTTTTAACTGTACTATCGCTCTACTGTTTAAGGAGTTCTTTATATATTCCAATACAATGATTTGCAAACATTCCTCCCATTCTGTGGGTTGTCTTTTCACTGGTTGCTTGGCTTGCAACACAGAAGTTTTTCATTTAGCTGTAGTTCATCTTAGGCTTGTGGTGCCCTAAGAAATACTTGTCTAAGCCAAAATCTAAGAGTTTTATAGTCTCAGCCTCTATAGGTCTGTGGTGGGTTTTCAGTTAATCTTTATATGTGTGTAAGCCCTTCCCTTTTAAGTACCTGTCTGGGAAATTTGCATACACAAGTTTTTTATTCTCTGGCTAGAACTTAGTTACCTGGTTGTACCAGTCATCTCTAAGAGGTTGGAGAATGTATATTTCGGGCATCCGATAGCAGTTTTTTTAAAGCGGGTTGTAAGCCTACTCAGCTTTAATCTTATAGTCTGAGCAATTCTATTGCTTCTTGTTTCTAAGAACTTGGCCGATTTTAACAAGGATTTAGCAGGAGGGTTTAGTGAGAACCGCTGTTGACTCACTCCCTCGGAGACCGATCCCAAGGAAAACGGTCCCGAGTCACTTGCCAGCCTTTCCCCGCAGCACATGTGGGCTCTGGCGTTTTTCCCTTCGGATAATCCACTCCGCGGCACTTCGCGCCTTCCAGTTTTCCCGCGCGCAGCCCTCCGCCCGGGGCGCGTCAGTCGGCCCGCCCCTCCGCGCCGCGCCCGCTCGGCCGGGGAGCCGCCCTCCCCGCGGGCCCGGGCTGGCGATAACACCCCGGGCCTTGGTGCGCTGGCGGCCGTGCGCGATGGCCGTGTACCGCGAGGCTATCCCGGGCCCGTCTCTGGAGACGCCGTCGCCCTCGCCGGAAGCACACACCTCAGCTCAGGGTTCGGTGAGCGGACAGCGAGGGGCGCGCGGGGAGGGGGCGCTGGGCTTCGGCGCGGGGCCGGGCCGGGGACTCCGGGGGCCGACCCCCCACCCCCATCCCGGGGCATCTGGGCGCAGCCAGCCGGCCGCAGCCCCGCACGGCCCCGCCCGAGCCTCCAGGTTGTTCAATTGCCCCGGCTGGGGTTTGACAGTTGACTGCGGAGAGGCTGGGGGTATTCTGGAGCCCCAAAGAGATGGGAAACTGAGTCCTAGACAAGCGCAGAAAGCCGCTGATTCCTTCAACTAGTCAGGCAGGGCCAGTCTAGGGCTCTTGTCCACCACACGCCAGGTCTTCCCAAAGTCTCTGGAACCCCGGGCAGGTAGAACTTCTAATTGGGCCCGCCTTCCCCGGTCTCCAGGCAGGTGCTCTGGGCTTGGCCGCCCCCTCAAACCTGGCTCCCTCCAGGCACCAGACTCTCCTAACGGACACCGCACCCGGAGCCCTTCCTGGTAACCAGGCTCCGAAGTGAGGGTGGAGGGCAGGTGGGAATCCAGGGGCCGCCTCAGGCCCTCTGCCTTCCCTCTCCCCCACCCCCTGGATAGGGCTGGGCACGTGTCATTCAGGGTGGCTGTGTTGGAGAGGAGTTAGGACTTCTGAGCTCGCTGCTGGATGCGGAATCCACTGCCCCTCTGTGCTGCGCCTTCATTCTGTCCCTGGCTTGACTTCACCGCCTCGGTTCCCTATGCTGACTCCGCGCTTCCCCTCCGAGCAAAAGGTAGTGGGCTTCAAGACAAGACAGCAAGATCAAGAGGCCCTCCGGGGACTCTCATTTCCCAGGGAACTTTAAAAACTCAGGATGACATGAATTGTTAGGGAGGAAATACTGGCCATGAAACTCTAGCATTTAATTCTCATAGCAACTCTAGGAAGTGTTATTACCCCCATTGTACACAGGATGAAGCTTAGCCACACTAAGTACCTTGTCCTGGGTTACACAGCTAGAAATGGCAGATGGAGAATTTGCATTCAGATTTGTCAAGTTTGCCTAACTGAAACATGTACTCAGTTGACTGTGAAGGGCTTATGATTTGAGTAGGTAAAGCGGTATTCCTCAAGATTCCAAGACTGTATCATATACCTAGATTTTTAAAATTTTCATGTGCCTACTATGTACCAGAACTTGATAGATACCTTTAGGAGGAAACCAGAATCCCTATAATGGAAGGTTTGGGGAGTGGGGAGGTGGGGGTGTCATGTTGGATTCTGCCTGGTGTTAAATTTTCTGGAAGTTGAAATATTGTTCACAAAAATGTCAGAAGAGACCACATCCTGCCTGGTGTGTGGGTAGGAAAGAGTGCAGAGAATTTGATAAACCCTTATCTGGGAAGACCTTCCTTTCAAGAGTCCTTTTGGGGTGTCTGGCTAGATACCAAACTGGGTGAAACTACAGACCTCTCCACTCCCCCTCCCATCTCCAGGCAAAAGATGAAAAAGAAAGATTCCCAGCATCTTTGGGAGAAATAGCACTTTACACAGCATCTTCATGTCATTTATTCTTTCAACAAATACATATTGAGCATCTACATGCCTAGCACTTTTCTAGGTACTGGGGACATGGTGGTAAATAAAAGTTATGTAGTTCATGCTTTCAAAGAGTTTATGTGCTGGTGGGGAGAGGCAGGAAATAAATACTAATATATCCTGTAGTGAGTACAATTGAGAGAAATTTGGGTGGTCAGGGAAGACCCCTCTAAAGAAATGACATTTAGGCTTCAGCCTGAATGGCAAGAAGTCAGCTCTTGCAAAGACCTGGAGGAAGAGCTGTCCAGACAGAAGGGACGGGAAGTGCAAAGGCCCTGAGGCAATAACAGACAAGGTCATTTTGAGCAACAGGATGGAGGCTACCATGGTTAAGGAGAGCTATCTGAAGTAAGGTGGGAAAAGGAGTGACAGCTGATTGAGTGGGCTCCTGCAGGCTATATGGGAAGGACTTAGAGTTTTATTCAAACTGTAATTTCAAGTTGTTGGGGGGTTTTAACCAGAGAAGAGACACAATCTGATTTATGTTATGAAAAGATCACTTTGACTGCTGGACAGAAAGTGGATAGTAGGGAATGGGAGTAGAAGTTGAGATGACACTTAGACTCTCACTAATACATTAGACAGAGAAATTGGCAAGGAGGACTCAAGGATGACACCTAGGTTTGTGGCCTGAGCTGTTGAGTGAACATTGGGGCCATTTGATGCAAGAGGACAGTAGGGTTAGGAGATTAAAACAATGGGATGGAAATCAGGAGCTGTGTTTTGACCACACTAAGCTGGAATGCCTGTTTGGCAACCATGTGGGGCTGTGAGTAGACAGTCTAATTATGAGTCTGGAGTTCCCTGAATGCTTAGGGAGATATATAGATATAGATATATATAACCCCAAATATATATGTGTGGGTATACATGTAACCTTTATTTCATTTTTGCTCTGATGTTTGTTGTTTGCTGATTTCTGTGGTGTAAATACTCTCCCCGTGGCTGATTTCAGGCTGCCAGTGGTTCAACAACTGGCTTGCAAAAGTCCTGAACATTTAACAATCAGCTCCCAGAGCCATGGCCTCATTTGCTCATCAAAACATCCCTCGCAGTTGGCAGGAATATTCCAATTGATAGATGAGGCTTAGAGATAAAGTGACTTATTCAAAGGCACACACAGGAAGCTCATGGCAAAGTTAGGGGCCTCCTGACCCCCCTAGTTCACTCTAGCTTGCTGACTAAGAAAACAGACTGCAGCAAAAAGCACTGGGGGCAGGGGGAATATAAGGAAAAACTTCCCCCTGGAAATGCTTAGAAGTCACGGTTTGGAGGTTTGTTTGTTTTTTCTTTTCTCCCCCTTCTTCTGTCTCATTTCTTTTGTGTGTGTGTGTGTTGTTGACTGCACTGCGTCTTCATCGCTGTGCTCGGGCTTTCTCCGGTTGCATCGAGCGGGGGCTACCCTTTGTTGCTGTGCCTGGGCTTCTCACTGCGGTGGCTTCTGTTGTTGAAAAGCACAGGCTCTAGAGCGCAGGCTCAGTAGTGTGGCTCACAGGCTGCATTGCCCTAAGGCAGGTGAAATCTTCCTGAACCAGGGATCAAACCCCTTTTTCCCTGCATTGGCAGGCGGATTCTCAATCACTGGACCGCCAGAGAAGTCCTGTCTCACTTCTTTTAAGATAATTTGAGAGCAACTAGGACTGAGAGGTTGCTGGAACAGCCCTCAAGACAGGGCTGCAGGAAACTTTTGAAAGTCAGGGGGCTGGAGGGAGTGGTTGGTACCTGTGGGGGCTGAGCTCCTGTGTCTCCTCCAGGACAGCGGAGCTGGTCACCTCTCATTCTATAGGAAGTTGTGCTATGGCATTGGAGGGGTTCCCAACCAGGTGGCCTCCAGCGCCATAGCCTTTTACCTGCAACTTTTCCTGCTCGATGTGGCACAGGTGAGTGTGGGCAGCAGTCTTGGGGCCCCCTACTCCCATGTCTGATGTCTGGTCCTTTCAACCTGCCTTTACTTCCACCCCCACGATCCTTGGTAAATGGCACTTCTGACCCAAGGCTGAGAAAAACCAAATGCTGTTGAGGGCAACCTCTTGAAAGATGTTTATTTGCAGGTTGTTTGTAGTAGAAGAATGGGAAATAACATGAATGCCCCCAAATATAGATGTAGTTCAATAGTAAGTTGGACTATGTCCACATAATGGAGTAGTGTGTAGTCACTCAAAAAAATGAGTTAGAGCTATACCAGTTGACTCCCAAGAATTTCCATGATGCACTGTCAAGTGAGGAAAATTAGTTTTAGAGAAGGGTATACATAAAAAGATCCCATTTGAACAAAACAAAAACATGCCCTATATATATGAGTGCATAGGTATAAGGAGATGGTTGAATAGCATCACTGACTCAATGGACATGAGTTTGAGCAAATTCTGAGAGATAGTGAAGGACAGGGAAGCCTGGCATGTTGCAGTCCATGGGGCCACAGAGTCAGACACCACTTAGCAACTGTACAGCAACATGATTAAAGGATGAGCATGGAGAAAGTTTATTCCAAGAGGACATTCGTCCAGAAGTATGTTAATATTGACTATAGGAGGGACTGGTGGAGGATAGAGCATAAACAAAAACTTTTAGTAAAGTATCTACTATTCACTTATTTTCCATGATTTTTTAAATGACACCGATCTCCCATTTGTATAAAATTATAAATCACAAATGCACATAAGGAAAGGAAGGAAAGAATGATCAAAATGCTCCTGGCAGTTGTCTCAGGATGGTGGAATTTCAGATGAGCTTTGCGTGATATTTTTCTGAACTGTTTGAATGTGTGTATAATGAATGTTATCACTTTATGTAATCAGAAAAATCAATAAACCATTTTCACTGTAAAACACAAGCTCTGCCTCTGACTGTCAGCTTCAGTGCACTCTTCCCACAATGAGCCACCTCAGGGGAGCGTCTCTCAAGTCTTCTCCTAAAGTGACTGCGTATAAATATAACAGAAATGTGCTAGTGTGCACTGGCTCTCCCCTTCTTGTCCCCCCATCCCTTCTCCACTGGTGCACAGATGTCCTCAGAGCTGTCTGGATTCCTGTCCTGGGGGAGGGACTGAATGGACCTTTACAGCGTGGCCATGGCCCCAGCCAGTTTCCAGGAGAAAGGTCTTTCTCCTGATTGGTGGGCAGGTCCGGACACACTCGCTGACTGTGCAGGAACTTGGCTGTCCCCTCCTCTGTCCCTTTCAGATCCCTGCTGCCCAGGTGTCACTGGTCCTGTTTGGAGGGAAGGTGTCTGGGGCAGCTGCAGACCCTTTGGCTGGGTTTCTCATCAACAGAAGCAGGAGGACAGGGTCTGGACGACTCATGCCCTGGTGAGCAGCCCCACGGTCCTTAGGGTCCTGGCACCCACCCCTGCTTGAGATCTCTGCATTTTTCACAGCTGCTTCTTAGTGGAAAATCCTATGGGTGGTTAGAGGTCAGGTCTGGACAGTGGTGACGGGAATGGAATGGGTCTGAGTGAGTCATGCAGGTGTTCAGGGACCTCTCCCTCACCGGGCGGCACAGAGCTGGACAAGAGCCGCAGGCCTGGCCCAGCCAGGGCTGGATGGCTTGGAAGGTCTCACAGAGGAGATACGACTTTCCTGGGTATGGGGAATGGCGCCACCCAACCCAGGTGGCACCAATGGTAAAGAACTTACCTGCCAATGCAGGAGATGTAAGAGATAGGGGTTCGATCCCTGGGTTGGAAAGATCCCCTGGAGGAGGGCATGGAGACCCACTCCAGTGTTCTTGCCTGGAGAATCCCATGGACAGAGGAGCCTGGTGGGCTACAATCCATACGGTGGCAAAGAGACTGGACACGACTGAGTGACTCAGCACACACCCATGCAGCCCCATGGGACCCCCTAAGGGCCCCGGCCCCCACTCCCAAGGACCTCCTCATCCCCTCAGCCACCTCTCCCCCTCCGTGGCTCCCACCCTGAGCCCCAGACCAGGACTCCTCCAGGGCCGAGGGCCGGGCGAGGCTGCTGCAGGCCCCCGGGGGCCCCCGTCCTGGTGCTGCAGGGCGCCCCACCTGGCTCTGCTTCCGCAGGGTGCTGGGCTGCACACCCTTCATTGCCTTGGCCTACTTCTTCCTGTGGTTCTTGCCCCCCTTCTCCACCTTGCGCGGCCTCTGGTACACGACCCTCTACTGCCTGTTCCAAGCCCTGGCCACGGTAAGCAGGTGGGCCCCTTCCCGGGTCTGGACTCCTGGAAGCCCATGCCGGCAGGAGGCCTCCCTGAAGTGTGTGTGTGTGTGTGTGTGTGTGTGTGCTGGGGGTGCCCGCTGCCCACCTGCTCACCAGGTGGTGACTGGCTGTTAACTTTTCTTGTGGGCTCTAGGCCAGATGCCCCTCCTGCTCCTTAGCCTCTAACTCCAGGTCGAGGGGATCTATAGGGACCTGCCAGCCTGGCACGGGCCTGGCTTGGGGAAGCTGCTGACCTGGGTTGGCCACCTGGCAGTGGGCAACATCCTAAGCTCTGCCTGGTCCCACAGTTCTTCCAGGTGCCCTACACGGCGCTGACCATGCTGCTGACCCTAAACCCCAACGAGCGGGACTCGGCCACTGCGTACAGTGAGTGCTGGCGGGCGTGCAGTCGGGTGGGAGGGGGTAGCTCTGGCCCAGCCCCACGAGCTCAGCCACCTTTTGCCTGCTGTGCCCCAGGGATGACCTTGGAGATGGTGGGGACGCTGATGGGAGCCACCGTCCACGGACTCATCGTGTCTGGTGCACACGGGTCCCACAGGTGCAAGGAGGACATGCTCCCAGGGGAGGTGGCTGTCTCCCCCAACGCGGTGAGTGTCCAGGCTGCCCAGAGCCACTGGGCCGCCACTTCCAGGTCACCTCTCTCTTCGAGGAACGTTTCTCCCCCAGGTCTCTTCATGGTTGTTTGGGGGCTCAGCTCTGCCCACCAGGCTCTTTCATTCCTTCTCCGCTCCTTGCGCTGAGCCCATGTCCCCCATCCCTCCTGCTAAATCTGCTTCTCCTGCTGGGTGCCTTCTAAACGTGGAGTCAAACAACAGGCCAGCGGGTCATCTGGAGGGGAGGAGGTGGACCCCAGAGAAGGGACAGGGTAGGGAGGGATCACTGGCAGCGGCAGGAGAGAGAGACAGCCAGAGGGTTTAGTGTCCTTGCAGAGCTCTGGGCAAAACCCATCCTATGAGCAGTGCCGCCCAGCCCTGAACAAGTGTCCCCCCAACCCCACCCACAGTATGAAAGGAGAGGGGAAACCTGGGGGCGGTACCCCATCCTCTCCCCTCAAAGCCGTTCCCTTTTCAGGAATTAGGAGATGTTCATCTATTTATCTGTCAAGTGCATCTTCTATTCCCCCTCTTCTCCTTAAGCAAAGGACATCACTGACCTCCACCAACATTTGAGAATTGATGTTATGAGAATAGTGCCAGCATCACGCACCCACAGTTCACTGCCTGTAAGAAAACATTACAATGAAGTCCTGTGAAGAAAAAAAAAAAAAAGAAGTCCTATGTAGAGATCCCCAGGCCATCTGCAGCCCAGCTACAGAATATGCCTCCATACAGTGTGAAATGAAGCTGTAGGGCCCCAGAGAGGGCAGGGAGTCAATCTCCCCTTCCCATGGCCCACTGCCCCAGTCAAGGGATTGCCTGGATCTGGGTGGGTGAGAGGCTATGCCCCGTTGCCCTCAAAGCCTACCATGGTGCTAAGAGCCCAGGATCAGAGGGGTTGTGGCCTACAGTTTTACCCTCCCTACGTCAAAGCCCAGGGCACCCCCCCCCCCAAAAAAAAATGAGAGTCCAAGTCGATCAGTCATGTCCAACTCTTTGCAACCCCATGGACTATAGCCCACCAGGCTCCTCTGTCCATGGGATTCTCCAGGCAAGAATACTGGAGTGGATTGCCATTCCCTTCTCCAGGGGATCTTCCTGATGCAGGGCTCAAACTCAAGTCTCCTGAATTGTAGGCAGATTCTTTATTATCTGAGCCACCAGGGAAGCCTCTACAAGGCCCCTCCCCAAAGCTTCTGGGTCACTATCCAGGTGAGGATAGTGGAACAGAGGGGAGAAGTGGGGAGCAGGGTTGAGGCGCTCCCCTTGGGTGGGAGAGCAGGAGGCCAGGTGGGGCATAGGATTGCAAGAAGTAGGGAGTAGGAAGCTGAGAACTTGTCCTCTCTCATGTCCTCATGGCTCACATGAGGCTGTGAGCCAAGGTGAGACACGTCCAGGGGCCTCATGCTAGTTCCAGCTCTGCTGTTCTGTAGACTTCACTTACAAAACACAAATTCATAGATAAAACCGTCCCGAATTTCAAGAGATCAGAGCATTGACTCCCAAGTGTAGTGCTTTCTGAATGTGGGACCCCTCACACTGGTGAAGCTCTGCGTCTCCCTCCTTCCTCCCCAGCCAGAGGCAACCCCTATCCTGAACTGGGTGACTGTTACTCCCATGCAGGCCTTATATGTGTCTTCCTCTGAATGCTCAGTGGCACCGTTTCTGTTTTCGATATTTTCTGTGTCATTGTACATCACACTGTAACTGTCTGTTCATGGATCTGTCTCTCCCTCACCCCAAGCCCCTTACTGTGGATGCACAGGGTCACTTATTCATCACTGTAAACTCAGGGTCTAGCACATGGAAGTCAGAAGCAATGAATGTTTGCTTAAAAAAAATGGGAGAGAGGGAGGGAGGGATTTGACTCATGGTTACATGAATGCCCACAGTAGGCACAGGGTCAGCAGAAGGACCATTCTGGTCCCTTAGATCTCCCCTTCCTGTGGGCCGATGGAGAGGAAGAGCATCCAGGATCCTTGGACTTGGACTGAGGGTCCCTCTGCTCCCACTGGAAGGCACTCCTGCCAGACCCCTGGGTATCCCCACCTCCATGGGTTGGAGACATCACCCCCACTGAAGTTCTGTCCTGTCCACAGACTCGTCTCTACTTCATTGCAGCCGCTGTGGTTGCTTTGACTTATCCAGTGTGCAGTACTTTGCTCTACCTGGGGGTGAAGGAGCAATCAGGTAGGTACAGGGCTGCAGACAGAGTGTGGAAGCAGAAGCTGGCCACTCCTCTCGGGCATGAGTTTTGGTTTTGAACTCCACCAATCCAAGATGTCCCTTTCCAATGTTACAGACCCCTCCACCCCAGCATCCGGCCAGGGCCTGGGCTTCCTGAAAGGGCTGGGTCTCACGGTCCGGCATCGGCCCTATCTGAAGTTGGTCATCTCCTTCCTCTTCATCTCAGCAGCTGTTCAGGTATGTCTGGCCAGGCTGATCCCCACTGGCTGGGCTTTGGTCATACCGAGCTTGCATAGGTTCAGGTTAGACTCTCGTCTCCACCACACCACAGGGAAACCAGTGGCTGGCAAGGGCTTGGCAAGGCTGATGCTGGGAGTAGAGAAACCTACCTAGATCTAGTGGGACTGGGGAGGGTCAGGGCCCAGACACCAGGAAGTGTCTGGGGTGGTAAAGTCCATCCATCTCAGCTGTGCTAGGGGCAGACTAGGAATGGTTTTTAAACCTGTGTCGGAATAAGACTCCATTGTTGGGGAAGGGATTGCATGATAGTGGCAGAAACGAGAGCTTAGAGGCCCAAAGGGAAGGCCCGACTCGAGACCTCAGCCTTGCCCTTGATTTCCACGTTTCTGCCGTTTCCTGTACACGCCTACTTCCTGTCGACTCCTCAGGTGGAGCAGAGCTACCTGGTCCTGTTCTGTACACACGCCTCCCAGCTTCAAGACCACGTCCAGGGCATGGTGCTGACCATCCTGGTGAGGGGACATGGGGTGGTGGAGGCGAGAGGCCTGAGTCAGGGCTGTGTGGTCCTTGACGTGACCTGTGTGATGGAGGTCTGGTGGTCAGTATTTTGGACTCTGCTTGGGCTTTTTGCTAAGATGCTTCAATTGTGTCTGACTCTTTGCGACCCTATGGACTGTAGCCCACCAGGCTCCTCTGACCATGGGATTCTCCAGGCAAGAATACTGGAGTGGGTTGCCATTTCCTTCCCCAGGGGATCTTCCCGACCCAGGGATCAAACCCACGTCTCTTATATCTCCTGCATTGGTAGGCAGGTTCTTTACCACTAGTGCCACCATTTCAGCAGAGGGTAGAATTGGGGTCAGGGTCATAAAGTTCGTAAAGTTCAGCCACTGGTTCCAACCAAGGACAAGGTCAACATCAGGTGTCCCACCTAAAAACTGAGCATTTGAGAATCTGGCAGAGGCCCCGGCAAGGCATCCTGGGCTATGGCGATTCTGTCCGTTCACAGGTGTCGGCAGTGCTGAGCACCCCGATGTGGGAGTGGGTTCTGCAGCGATTTGGGAAGAGGATGTCAGCCCTCGGGATCTGTGTGAGTGAGGCAGGAAGCCAGGCCTGGAGTGGTGTTGAGGGGGAGGTGTATTCTCGCATTCTCTGTGTCTAGCCCAGCGCCAGGCTCAGGGGGCATTAGTAAGGACTGGTGAGTGCATGAATCTGAGAGCATCTATGAGTGTGTGTGGGGCAGGGGTACAAGTGGAGGAGGCACCAGCGTGTCTGTCTCCCTAGGCGATGGTGCCCTTTGCAATCCTGCTGGCTGCTGTGCCCATGGTGCCCGTGGCATATGTCGTGGCCTTTGTGTCTGGCCTGAGCATTGCTGTGTCCTTGCTGCTACCCTGGTAGGCTGGGTCAGGGGCACGAGGAGTAGGGGCCTCCCATCCTTCCCAGTGGGTATCCCTCCTTCATCTCAACCTGCGGTCCCAGGCCCCTCCCCCTGGGGACAGGCTTTCCCCATTTCAGGGGTAGAGGCTGCCAAAGTGTGTTGGGGAAAAAGTGAAAAGAAAGTGAAAATGTTAGTCACTCAATCGTGTCTGCCTTTTATGAGACCCCATGGACTGTAGCCCACCAGGCTCCTCTGTCCATGGGAATCTCCAGGCAAGAATACTGGAGTGGGTCACCATGCCCCCATCCAGGGATCTTCCCAACCCAGGGATTGAACCCAGGTCTCCCTCATTGCAGATGGATTCTTTACCATCTGAGCCACCAGGGAAGCCCAAGAATACTTGAGTGGGTAGTCTGTCCCTTCTCCAGGGGATCTTCCCACCCAGGGATTAAATGCAGGTCTCCTTCACCGCAGGCAGATTTTTTACTGTCTGAGGCACCAGGGAAGTACAGCACTTTTACTGCCTGACTCTCTTTGAACCAGTCCTGGTGCTGGGCAGCGGGGACCCAGGGGTGAATTTGACTCAGTCCTTGTCCCCAAAGAGCCCTCAGGCTGGCAGCTCCCAAGGAGATAAAAGACATAATTCTGCAGCCCCTGCCCCCAGGTCCATGCTTCCGGATGTGGTCGATGACTTCCAGCTGCAGCACCAGCGTGGCCCAGGCCTGGAGACCATTTTCTACTCATCCTATGTCTTCTTCACCAAGCTTTCGGGAGCAGGCGCCCTGGGCATCTCCACTCTCAGCCTGGAGTGAGTCCCGGAGTCAGGCTGTCCCAGAGGTGCAGAAGACAAGTGGCGTGGGAAGCAAAGGGCAAAGTCCCCCACCTGAGCCAGCCAGGGGCCACCCACGAGTCTGGGGAGTCTGTGGGAACCCCCATCAGCTTTCTCTGTGCACGTGACCGGAAGGGGTACAGGTCTCAGCAGCTATGCCCCTTCTGAAACCTCTACTCCCCGAATTCTCAGCTCTCTCTGAACGCCTCCCCGGTCTGCCTGTTCCCTCACACTCCCTCCCTCCCTAGACAGACTGATTTGGCCAGAAAACAAATCCAAGTTTCAGGATAGGGTGGGGGTTGGGCACCTGGGACCCTTCCATCAGGAGGCTCTGAACTGGAAGCTCAGGGTGGGGGCTTCTCCAGCTTCGCAGGGTACGAGTCAGGAGCCTGCAGGCAGTCGGAGCAGGTGGTGGTGACCCTCAAAGTCCTCATCAGTGCAGTGCCCACCAGCATGATCCTCATTGGTCTGTGCATCCTCATGGTCGGTCCCACTCCCAAGGTGCCAAGTCAGGCCAACTCCCGCTCCCTGGGAAGGTAGGCACCAACGCTCACGTGTACACACTGCAGGGCACCTGGGGAGGCATGCAGATGTGCACAGTCCTCAGGTGGACCTGATGTTCCACAAGCATGGAGTCTTTTTTTTTTAATTCGTTTATTTTTGGCTGCACTGGGTCTTCTCTGCCACGTGGGCTTTTTCTAGTTTCGGTGAGCAGGGGCTGCTCTCTAGTTGAGGTGCTCGGGCTTCTCATTGTGGTGGCTTCTCTTGTTGCAGAGCACGGGCTCTAGGGTGCGAGGGCTTCAGCAGTTGTGGCTCCCGGGATCTAGTGCCCAGGTTCATTAGCTGCGGTCCACGGGCTTAGTTGCTCTGTGGCAGATGGAATCTTCCCAGACCAGGGATTGAACCCATGTCCCCTGTATTGGTAGGCAGATGCTTATCCACTGTACCACTGGGAAAGTGCAGTCAGTCTGTCTTAATGGGCCCCAAACTGAATTCATCTTTGTTCTCCAATCTCGGCTCTTGCTGTACCACAGTGAACGGTACCACCTTCCACCCTAGGGGTTGAAACCCCAGGGTCATCTTCCACTCCTCCCCACACCATCTGCCCTGAGCCGCTCTCTCACCTCGTTCTTCCCACTTGGAAGCACAGACCCCACTGCCCTGGGGCTGATCTGCTCACTGCCTGGCTTTCACAGTTGACTGTGGGGACCTTGACAGCTGAGGGGGCTGTTTTCTCCATTTCTGTGTCCCAGGAGCTCAGCCCAGAGCCAGAGTCCAAGCAGGCACTGCAGTGTCAACACTTCTGGTCCAGCAGACAGTCACAAGCTGTGTCCACGTTTTTGCACATGCTCAAAAACTTACAAACAAGAGCCCGTGTACAGGCAGAGGCCCACACAGGATAAGGCCAGGAAGTGGCTCCATCATGGATCCCTCAGTGCTCAGTGGGGACGGCCTGGGACTCCAGCCCCTCATACTGAGATCATGCGCTGTGTTTGGGGAATGACACATGGGTGGGGCCTGGAGGAACAGGGCTGTAGCTTTGTTCTCCGGGTTGAGCAGGGGAAGAGCTGCTCAGGAGACAAGGGGCAGCCACTGACACTTCCCCGCCCCCGCCCCCCCTCATCCTCCTCTCGGAATTTTCTCTTCTCTTTCCTGCAGGAGGACCAGCTACACTCTGGCTTGAATTTGAGACCCTGTGAGCCGGCACGTCAGGAGCAGCATCTTCTGGGCTCCATTCCCCCTTTTTCAGCCCTTTGGCACCTCTGCCTCACTGTTTAAACACGACCTGTCTTTTCCCCAGGGATGTGGAGTCTTCAGTGACTCTCCTGAAGGGAGTGGCCTGGGCTCCACCTTTCATGTCTTACCTGTTGACCTCAGGACATCTCAGAGAGGCCTATGCCACTGACTACCCAGCTCTGGGCAACCTGTGACCTCAAAAGCATTCCTGAAGCAACTATTCCTGGAAAAAGGAAGCCCTTGCCAACCTGGTCTGCAGACTTATGTGGGAGCACCAGGCCCACCAACCTACTTGGATGGCAAAGCTACCTGACAAGACAGACACACAGAATTCTTGTTTCTCCTGATGGTCCAGTGATCATCTAATGGAGAGGCTGACAGACAGCATGTGAATGGGCAGAGTGGGGACAGATGGACATGCTGGGATAGCCAGGTGGAGAGATACACAGATGCAGCCAGAGAGGCCAGCAGACCCCACAGGGAGCGGATGGGGCCAGCAGTGGGGACAGGTTGAACAGGGCACGAGGTGTTTCTCAAGACCTTTCCCCTTGTACAGCTAAGCTGATGAAACTGTTTCTAGAGGTGGTCACAGACTGATACTGAGCCACCAAAGATCAATCATTTTTATGAACAAAAGTTATTTCTGTGGGAATACTTTTCTGAAAAAATCACAGGAACCACTATTTTCTAGAGGCCACCATGTCTTTGGGGAAGAAAGATCCACTGAGGTTTATTTTTTCAGAAACAAATTAAAGGGTTTATCTTCTACTTGCTTGCTTGTGTGTGTGCTCAGTCATGTCTGACTCTTTGCAACCCCACGGACTGAAGCATGCCAGGCTCCTCTGTCCATGGGATTTCCCAGGCAAGAACAGTGGAGTGGGTTGACATTTCCTATACCAGGGGATCTTCCCAACCAAGGGACTGAACCCACGTCTCTGGCTTCTGCTGCATTGACAGGTAGATTCTTTACTGCTGAGGCACCTGGGAAGCTCTATTTGAGTCTGTAAAATGTGACTCTGGCCAGCCTTCTCATCCCACCTCCTGGGAAGTCTGTCCCAAGAAGGGAAGGGGAGGGTGCCTGATGTCCCTGAAACTGGCCATGTCTCCTCAGCCATGTGTCCCAGAATATCCGCAGTTCCTCAGACCACAGGTTCCCTGTGGGAGGAGACAAGAAGTTGAGGCCAGCGGCCAGGGCAGTGAACCATGGTAGCTTGTGTGGGTTTGGGGCCATGGGGCCCTGATGCCCCAGCAAGTGTTCTAGAGAGGCCTAGGTACCTACAGGGGGACCAGGAAGTGAGATCTGCCCCCTATATTCCTCCCCCTCCCCCTGTTCTACAATTCCCAAGCCCACTGCCCAGGGCTAGGCCCCCTTCCACTTCCTCTTTAGCCCTCTGGCTGCCTCTTAAGTGTGAGGTGAGATTGAAGGTCTAAGACAGTCAGAGCTCAGACACACTCAGATAGTGCTCCTCAGAGCTTAAAGCATTTGGCTTCCTCTACAAATGCTGTCTTTTCATACTGTCCATGGGGTTCTCCCAGCAAGAATACTGCAGTGGAGTCCTTCATTTACTCAATGGACATGAATTTGAGCCAATGCCAGGAGACAGTGGAGGACAGAGGAGCCTGGCGTGCTACAGTCCATGGGGTTGCAGTCGGACATGACTGAGCGACCGAACGACGACAAATGTGTAGCACAGGAAGGAAGCTGACCTCAGAGAGAGTGCAGAGTGTGACCCGGTCTGTCTGATGCCTGAGCTTTCTGGCCCCGAACACTGACAAGGGCATCTGATCCTTGAGGTCACAGGGCTCCAGAGAAAGAGCTGGGCTGTCTCTCTTCCTGATTCAGGAAGGAGCCGAGAGGAAACCGTTCGCCCCCTGCTCTGCACAGGCACACATAGCACACACATACGTCACACACTGCACACTCACACACACCTGAACAGGCTTTTGTTTGCTTGCTTTTCCTTTGGCTGCACTGTCTTTGTTGGGTTGGCAGGCGTAGTTACTCCTCAGCAACTAAGTTCTTAGTTGGGATCTTAGTTCTCTGACCATGGGTCAAATGTGAGTACCCTGCATTGAAAGGTGGATTCTTAACCACTGGGCCACCAAGAAGTCCCCAGAACAGTTTCTTAACTCTGGACAATCACTGGCCTTGTGGAGACAGTACCAGGTACAAGGTAGTTTCTACCATGTTGTTATGCGGTGCTTTGGAAACCTGGGCAGTGCAGGTGGGATCAGAAGCTTGTGCCACATTTGATGTTACCTCTATTTCCCGGGAGTGCGGTCTCCTAGGAAACCGAGTAGGAGAGCTGCACAGTACAAGAACAGCAGCAGCGGCCACTGCTGGGGGTCTCAGAGATGGGAGGCGATCATGGGCTGACCAACGGGTAGAATTCCATTTCTTCTTCATGACAGCCCTATGAAGCAGGTATTATCTCATTTTCAGGTGAGAAAATAGACTAGTGAATTAAGCAACTAGCCTAAGAGTGGTTACAAATGGAAGAAATGGTTTTGTACCCAGAATTGGAGGTCAAATGCCCACCTCAGTGTCCTCCAGGCAGTTAAAACATCACACGTCCTTCTCCCCACACTTGTTCTGCCTCCTGCATTTTAGGTAAATTTATGTCAGCATCTATCCAGTCACCAAAACCCCTAACTTGGTCTTTCCTTAGTCTCTTTTCTCTCCCATTTACTCCACCAACCTATTCCCCATATATACCAAGTATGTATTAAGTGAGGGAAAAGTGTTGCAATGTGTGGGCTCTACCATTATCAAATGGTAGAAGTTGGGACTTCCTTGGTTGTCCAGTGGCTGGGAGTCTGCCTGCCAATGCAGGGACATGGGTTTGATCCCTGATCCAGGAGGATCCCACATGCCCCAAGGCAATTAAGCCTGTGCCCTGCAACTACTGGGCCTGTGTGCCTAGAACTTCTGCCCCACAACAGGAAAAGCCACTGCAATGAGCTTTCACCCAAGAACTAAAGAGCAGCCCCCACTCAGCACAAATAGAAAAACCCTGCACGTAGCAGTAAGACCCAGTGCAACCAAAAATAAATAAAAAGAGGGAAGTTCCTGGTGGTCCAGTGGTTAGGACTTGGTGCTTTCATTACAGTGGCCTGGGTTCAATCCCTGGTCTGGGAATTAAGATCCCCCAAGCCACATGGTGCAGCCAAAAACATAAAATATAGAAAAGAAGAAATGATAATTTACAACAATCAAGAGATGAGCACCTGGGGTGGAGTTACTTCTATGGAGAAGGATCCAGGAGGGATACATAGGGAGCTTGAAAGGTTCCTAGTAATGTTCTGGTTCTTAAACTAGGGATAAGTGGTTCACTTTTATGCCTTCCTATACTTCACATCTATTGCACCTATTAAATAATACCATATAAAATTTTTTAAATTTGGGCACAAAGTGAGATTTGTAAGTAATGTTTCTATGTAAAATATTCTCAATATAACATTAATTTATTTAGCTCTTCTCTCCCTGTTTCCTTCTCTCCCCAAACCAACAAATACTGAATTATCTTTTATTTATTCCAATGATTATATACAGTAGAGACCAAGGAAATATGTTTCATATGAGAGCTGTCATGGGATCAGATTTGTTGGAAAGAAATAATTTATATCCTGGACTGTCCACCAGATGAAATACGAAGATAACACATGTAAAAATCAAGAACATTCCTCTATACCAGAAACAATCACAAAGTAAATATTAAAACATTCACACACATACACCCACAGAAAAAACCATTCACAACAGGATTCTCCTGGTGGTCCAGTGATTGGCACTCTTCACTTCCAATGCAGCGGGCCTAAGTTCAATCCTTGGTCTGGGAAATTCTGCGTGCCACCTGATGCACACAGATATAAATAAAAAACAAAAACATTAAAAACAACAACAACAACAAAAATTCACAACAGCTACAACAACCATTAGTAATTTTACTGAAGACTCATTCACAGGATTCTGACCAGCAAAATGATTGTAACATACAATCTGGGGCACCTACACAGATTTTGCTATCAGGTCCCCCAGACCCCATCTTGAGGCTTTACAGTTGTAAAGCCCACCAGACACTTCCTTCGAAAATGGATCCAGGCCTCAGGCTAACCTCAGCCACTGCTCTCCAGCAACTGATTCCAGACAACTGGCCTCCATTCCCATTACCCCAGCAGCTCCTCTAATGCATTTCAACCGCAAAGTGGCTCTCGTCTCTTCCCTATCCCTGCTCCATCTTCATAAACTAGCAGACAGGAGTCCTCAAGGGTACAAGATCTTTCCAGATGGCTTTAAAAGAAAAGAGGAAGAAGCATTTGTGCTCCTATGCATCTGATCTCCTACGGCTCAAACGTACCTGCAGATGTGTTCTGACTAGTCACTTATCAATCCGTTCATTACACTGCAGAGTCAGAAGTTTATGACTCTGTGAAAAGTGGTGAGTCTATCTGAAGCTGGGATCAGGGCTCTTTCCACTAGGCTAAGCTAGTGCTTTAGCCCATAATTATAAGAAACTATCTCAGATTCAGTATAACCTTCAACTTTCTGAAATACTTTCTCTCATAGATTCTATGCTGGCCTATAACACTTGAACAGGGAGAACAGAAAAATAGACAAATTAAGGTGGCAATTTAAACTAAGGGAGTTGATTACTGGGAGAAAAACAAGGCATTTTTATGATCCCCAAAATAGGAGATGAGCAACCTCTCAGGGAGAAAATCCTGAGTGACAACAGCAGAAAATCCTGCCACAGGCCTCACCTGTGCTTGGCACTGTACCAGTACCATCAGGACACGCTTCAGTGGGGCCCAGAAGAAGTCAAAGCACTTTAAGTATCATTTGAAATTTGCCCAGGGCCAGATTTCAGGAGTTCCTGGACTTTTTTGTCAGCCAGAATTTTCTAGGGAAGTGAGAGGGTTCAGTTTAAATCCAACATCAGAACTACTTCCTGTTCGAGGTAGTCCTGGGAGCAGAAATGAATCGATTTTTTGTTTTCCTTTGAGCTCTGTGCATTCCTGCTCATTTAGGGTAAAAAGAGACGCTGGAGCAGATGTTCTCCAGCACTCCTCACACTCAACTTGAAGCCAAGATCTATTACAATCCTGAGGTACCTTTTAAGTGCTTCTAAGAGCTTTAATGCTGTTTTGGGCAAGGGACAGAAAGCCTCAGAGAAACCATAAAACACAATCCATATGGCACCATAATATTGTTTTGTGCCGGGAATTCTGCCCTTAGACAAAACCACACAGTCATGAATACATAAATAACTGCTTTCTGAGCCATCTAACAAAGACTGGGCTCTGCTGCAGAGCAGGGAACAGCAGCCTGGGGGGAAGAGTGGCGGAGCCAGCCATGGCAAGCGCTTCACCTCCCAGCGGCCCTGCAGATCCCAGCTGGGGAGTGTCCACCGTGGAAAACAGCTCTTGTTAGTAAGGGCCTCATCTGCGAGGCTGTGCGGCACACACTCTGCTGGTAAGTATCAGACTACACTGCCAGTATGGTCAGAAGAGCTGGTGGTATCTCCGCTTTGGGGAATCCATCACTGAAGACTCCAAGAGAAGGACTGCTATCAGTGCTCTGAGACAGAGTTTCAGAAGTCATCTGACCTGCCATCTCTTATGATTATTTCCTGTGTGGCTGTGAAAGTTAAGGGGACGAAGCCTTCACTGTCCGCACAGAGAAGGATCCAGTGGAAGTCTGCAAGGTAAAATAAACACACAGGCAATTTAGGATATCCTGTCTTACTCAATAAAGAAAAGTATCACAAATACAACTTTTTTGAGGGAAAGAATGTAGTAGTTGATAATCCTGAACCTGACCATCACAAGACTTTACAGAGATGGAGGGGCCGGGTGAAACTTAGGGTCAGGTTACATGGCAGGAATGGGATATTGATGGCAGGTGGCAGGTATAGCTGCTGCTGCTGCTGCTAAGTTGCTTCAGTCATGTCCAACTCTGTGCAACCCCACAGACGGCAGCCCACCAGGCTCTCCCGTCCCTGGGATTCTCCAAGCAAGAACACTGGAGTGGGTTGTCATTTCCTTCTCCAATGCATCAAAGGGAAGAGTGAAGTCGCTCAGTCATGTCTGACTCTTAGCGACCCCATGGACTGCAGCCTACCAGGCTCCTCCGTCCATGGGAGTTTCCAGGCAAGAGTACTGGAGTGGGGTGCCATTACCTGCTCCAGACAGGTATAGCTAAGGGACATGTATTAATGCCCGGGCTAGGCATTAAAGGGTCAGTGTCATGAATTTGAGCCGTGTGTGCATGTGTGCATGCTGGTGTTAGGGGTTGTGTATGGTGTTCCTACCTTTTCTAATGCCATCTAGTAGTTTCTCCAGAAACCATGCGAAGCTGGCAACAGCAACTCTATGGAGGAAACTTCTATATTTTTGAGATCCATGCCAGCCTCTAGACACCCAAGGAGGTTGAGCTGACTAGTGCCAGGCTAGAAGTGCCCAGATAATCCTAAACAGTTTGTTCTGGGGTAACCTAGGACCACTGATGTAACACATACCTGGACTTTCTCTAGTTCTTTTGAGTCCACTGTGACCCTGTAATTTCACTTCTGAAAATCTACACTTTCCAAAAATGTATAAAATACAAAAAGGTTTTTATTAGTGTTATTGGTGATAATGAAAACTTGGAAACCACTTAAATGTCAAAGAAAACAAGGCAAACTAAAATATGGTATTAACAGAGTAAATACTGCTCGTCACAAGGAAAAATTTTTTCTATCTATATGAGATGATGGTTGTTCACTAACTTACTATGATAATCATTTCATGATGCATTTAAGTCAAATTGTTATGTTGTACACTTTATAGTGCTGCATGTCAACTGTATCTCAATAAAACTGAAAGAAAAAAAATATGGTACATCCAAGATAGAATATTAACCCAATAAAAATTACAATTATGAAGTTGTATCATAAATGCATGTGTCAAAATAGAAAAATGCTGATGCTACAATGTTTGACTGGGAAAAAAAATGAAATGAAGTTTTAAAAAAAAATTTATGTTCAGTGTGTGGCTGTCCTGAAACCACCACGTTCCCCATCAGATGGAACACAGGCATGAGCCAGTCCTGAGCCATCTAGGAGCATCCTTCATGTGCACGTTTGCTGCATATTAAAATGACGGCTCCTAAACAGACATAGAGAATAGACTTATGGACATGGGGAGAGGGGAGGAGAGGGTGAAATGTATGGAAAGAGTAACATGGAAACTTTACATTACCATACGTAAAATAGATAGCCAACAGGAACTTGCTATATGGCTGAGGAAACTCAAACAGGGGCTTTGTATCAATCTAGCGGGGTGGGATGGGGAGAGAGATGGGGGGAGGTTCTAAAGGGTGGGGACGTATGGATCTCTATGGCTGATTCATGTTGAGGTTTGACAGAAAAAAACAAAGTTCTGTAAAGCAATTATCCTTCAATAAAAAAATAAATTAAAAAAAAAAAGACAATGCCTCTAAGAAATATTCTATGGGAGTTCCCTGGTGGCCCAGTGGTTAGGATTCCAGGCTGTCACTGCTGTGGCCTAGGTTCAATCCCTGGTTGGGGAACTGAAACCCCACAAGCTGCAAGGCATGGCCCAAAAAAGAAAGAAAACAATAAGGTCCTACTGTATAGCACAGAGAACTATATTCAATGTTCTGTGATAAACCACAATGGGAAAGAATATTTTGAAAAAAAAATGTAGGAACTTCCCTAGCCATCCAGTGGCTAAGACTTCCACTGCAGCAGGCAAGGGTTCAATCCCTAGTTGGGGAACTAAGATCTCATATGGCATGTGGTGTGGCCCCAAAATTAATAAAATAAACAAATGAAAGAATGTTTGTGTGCGCACAGAGCCCCCTCCCCCCACCACACACACACACGAAAGAAATACTCTGCGATGCTATTTATGTTTTACTGCAACTGGTACATATGAGGTTTTCTGTCATTTCCTTGCAGTTCTTATATATTCCTTTGTAATTCTATTTAGCTTTTTCATGTGTGCACTCAGGGTTTTTCAGCTAGGTTGTAAGTTCCTTAAGGACACAACCCATATTTTCTGTGTGCTTCAGCACCTGTAACAGGCCTAGGTATACAATAACAATTAATAATACTTTTTAACTGTCTACTCAATCACTGAATGGTTGGTTCACTTCATTTTCATCACCACTGACAGTCACAAAATCGAGGGAGGAGATGTCGGGTAGAGTCACCATCTGAATTTTACCTACCATGCAGCATTTCAACAAGAGAGAGGCCGAAAGTCTGCTGGACTGTGCTGAGTCTTAGCTTGCCATTGCAGAGAAGCATCATTCTTTTTTCAACAACAGGACCTAAAAAATGAGATTTCTTCAAAAATAAAGATAAAAATTGTTAAACTGATTGCAGAAGCAATGGGGTTAATATTTCCTAAGAATAGCATGTACAGTTTAAAAAAGCCTTATCTATTACCACTATCAACTTCAGTGTTAAATAAGGAGCTTTTTGCTGCATTATTTTGCACAACTAAAGAATCAGATAGACACAATCCCAAATTTCCTTTTGCTCTGTTCATCCCCAAGGTTATGTCTTTATCTTTAGGAATTGGTTTTTCTAGGATGACTAATAGCACCATAGGATGATGGATGGCAGCCTGAGAAAGATACAATCAGATGGTGAGGAAAAACTGCTCGGCTGTTTTAGAAACAGGCATACCTCAGAGATATTGCAGGTTTTGGTTCCAGACCACTGAAAAAAACTGAGTGTCACAATAAAGTGAGCCACATGAAATTTTTTGGTTTCCTAGTGCATATTCTGGGCTTCTCAGGTGGTACAGTGGTGAAGAATCTTCCTGCCAATGGAGGACACATGGGTTCGATCCCTGGCTTGGGAAGATCCTCTGGAGGAAGAAATGGCAACCCACTCCAGTATTCTTGCCTGGAGAATCCCATGAACAGGGGAGCCTAGGCTGCTGCAGTCCATGGAGTCACAAAGAGTCACACACAACTTAGCCATGGAGGATGCAGAGTGCATATTCTATAGTTAAGTGTGCAACTGTATATGTCTAGTAATGTACATCAGTTCAGTTCAGTCGCTCAGTCACGTCTGACTTTTTGTGAACCCATGAACTGCGGCACACAAGGCGTCCCTGTCCAACCCCAACTCTCGGAGTTTACCCAAACGCATGTCCATCGAGTCGATGATACCATCCAACCATCTCATCCTCAGTCATCCCCTTCTCCTCCTGCCCTCAATCTTTCCCAGCATCAGGGTCTTTTCCAATGAGTCAGCTCTTCACATCAGGTGGCCAAAATATTGGAGTTTCAGCTTCAACATCAGTACTTCCAATGAACACCCAGGTCTGACCTCCTTTAGGATGGACTGGTTGGATCTCCTTGCAGTCCAAGGGACTCTCAAGAGTCTTCTCCAATACCACAGTTCAAAAGCATCAATTCTTCGGTGCTCAGCTTTCTTTATAGTCCAACTCTCACATCCATGCATGACCACTGGAAAAATCATAGCCTTGCCTAGACGAAACTTTGTTGTCAAAGTAATGTCTCTGCTTTTTATATGCTGTCTAGGTTGGTGATAACTTTCCTTCCAAGGAGTAAGCATCTTTTAATTTCATGGCTGCAATCACCAACTGCAGTGATTTTGGAGCACAGAAAAATAAAATCAGCCACTGTTTCCACTGTTTCCCCATCTATTTCCCATGAAGTGATGGGACCAGATGCCATGATCTTAGTTTTCTGAATGTGGAGCTTTAAGCCAACTTTTTCACTCTCCTCTGTCACTGTCATCAAGAGGCTCTTTAGTTCTTCACTTTCTACCATAAGGGTGGTGTCATCTGCATATCTGAGATTATTGATATTTCTCCCGGCAATCTTGAATCCAGCTTGTGCTTCTTCCAGCCCAGCGTTTCTCATGATGTACTCTGCATATAAGTTAAATAAGCAAGGTGACAGTATACAGCCTTGATGTACTCCTTTTCCTATTTGGAACCAGTCTGTTGTTCCATGTCCAGTTCTAACTGTTGCTTCCTGACCTGTATACAGGTTTCTCAAGAGGCAGGTCAGGTGGTCTGGTATGCCCATCTCTTTCAGAATTTTCCACAGTTTATTGTGATCCACACAGTCAAAGGCTTTGGCATAGTCAATAAAGCAGAAATAGATGTTTTTCTGAACGCTTGCTTTTTCGATGATCCATCAGATGTTCATACCTTAATTTTAAAATGCTTTATTGCTTACAAAATGCTAACTATCAACTGACAACAGATATATCTATACATCTTTAAACAAAGATATATAAGTCCACAGTAATCAAATCAGTGTGGTATTGTTAAAGTTTTAGACAAAGACCAGTATTACAGTAAGAAGTAACCAGAATTAGAACTCAGGATATGTAAGTTTATATATGAAAAATTTGGTAGATCAAGTTCAGTGGAATAAAGATGGATTTTTAATAATGTTGGCAGCACAACTACTTATCTTTCAGAAAATTTTAATCAATAATTAAAAACATAAATGTAAAAACTAATGTACATAAAATAATGCAAGAAAACCTAGATTACTACACATCCATCAATTTCTTTAGAAAAACCTCTTGAAACTGGTAATGCAACTGACCAAAAAACATGAGGATATACTCAAATTAATTAACAGTAGTGAATTACCAGGGGCTTCCCAGGTGGCACAATGGTAAAGAACCTGCCTGCCAATACAGGGGATGCAAGAGACAGGGTTTGATCCCTGGGTTGGGAAGATCCTCTAGAGTAGGAAACGGGAACCCACTCCAGTATTCTCACCTGGAGAATCCCATGGACAGAGGAGCCTGGCGGGCTACAGTCCACGGGGCCACAAAGAGTCATCCATGATTAAGCATTCATCATAGCCAACAGTAAGGGAAAAACAATTAATAAAAACTGAAATACTACTTCACATTAATCAGATTGGTGAGGATGTAAGGAAAAGGATAGTCCCATATGTTGCTGATGGGCATGTGATGATTCATTGAAAGGCAATCTGGCAACTCTATTAAAAGTAGAAGCATATACATATTTTATATATATATATATATATATGTGTATATATATATATACATATATATATACACACACACACACACACACACTCTTCAAATCTGCACTTCCACTTCTGGGAACCAAGCCAATAGAAATAAAAGTATGAATATAAATAGGTATGTATGAGAATACTATTGCAGCACTATTTGGAGTGGCTAAGAACTGAAAACAAAGTGAATGTCCATCAACAAGGGAAGAACTGAATAAACAGAACACTCTCAGCATGAAGTAAAGAACACACCATATGACCCCATGTTTGTAAAACAATGAGAAAATCACCACCCCAACACCTACATACCTATGAATTAAGCAAAGATCTATGTAAGATTATATGAGTACGAAGGAAAAATATGCAAGGATCCACATTAAGCTGCTAGCTAAAAGTGGATTACAGGGAGGAGAAGCAGGGCCAAGTTCAATGGGAAAGTATTCATGATAAAATGGATATTATATGAGCCCGTTTAAATAATATTTTATGTTTGCATATACAGGTATACATAGATATATTAAAACATTTTAATGACTATAACTTTTCTTATAAATGGAAGAGAGCTTGCAACTGCATATAAGAAAAGGCCTTCTCAATGAAACAGCATGATTTAAGAATTTGTTTTCTAAACAGATTGCCAGAATGAGTGCAAGAATTCATGTTTTCATACCATGCGCATGATAAAGTCATGGTGTATATTGCTATGTGGGCCTATCCAACCAACCTGAAAAGATATAACAACGTGCCTGAACATAACATGCCCAGCTCAGTGAAGTTCAATTAGAATCCCACTGCCTCAACAATAAATTTCTCTTGCAGCAGACAGGGCTACAGGAGCCAGTGGCAGCTCCCCCAGAGAAGTTACCTGGCAAGTGATGTGAACATAAGGCAGATCCTGAGAGAGTGGGTACACTGGAGAGGATTTCTTTCCATTGTGCAGAAAGTCACTGAGTTCAGAAAGACATCGCTGCACCTCACTCAGGTTCCTAGATACAATTTCCAGTTCCTTAGACAGCCGGTACGTTTCCTCTTCCCGTTCTAAGTTAGGAGGTTCTGTGGTACTGATGTGGGCTGGTGTACCGCTGGGTCTGGGCAGTGTTACTGACGAGTTAACAGGCCCGGCATCTAGAGTTTCTAGGACTGTGGAGCCATCACAGATGCTGGATGCAGGACTTTCTGTTTCCTTAATAAGGGTTCTTCCAGGCCTTCCACTTTGACTGCTGCTATTAGCTGTGAACAAGAGCCCTCCGCTTTGGTTAAAAAATTCTGGTGAAAGATCTTCAATTAGCTTTTCTATATTTGTTTTATTTAACAGAGTACTGAAAGAAGAGTTATCATTCTGGTTTTCACTCAGTGTCACTGGAAAGTCTTCTTTCAGCATTACCTCTCTAACAATCAAACGAATCATATACTGATCAGATTTTGAAGAAGGAAGAAATGCCGAGTCAGTGGACTTTTGTCTTCCCACCAAAATTAACAGTAATTTATCTGTCAAGAAACATATGCCTTTTGGTCTTTCATTACTCTCTAACTGAATCTGCTGGATGTTTGGCATTAATAACGGAATGACAGAATAGATAAAAATTACATTAGATGTATTGGAAGCCACTGCGACTGCTTGTGCTTTAAGATTAAATGCTATTAGATCAGGAACCAGAATGCCTGGAATGATTACTTTTCTGTTGCAGGTAACCTCCTTCTCAAAGGTCAAGAGGACCAAATGTGAAGAATCCAGGCCAGTTCCTGTCAAGTAGTCTTTTTTCCTTAGACAAGTAAGAGAACTACCCTCAGATTTAGTTCTGTTGAAGCGGATATGAGTTAGATCCAGAGGCTCAGAAAAGGATGACGACACTGGTGTTTCAGAGTTTGTTTCAGAGGAAACTGGATCAGTAACTGGTAAAGCATACAGGCAAGTGTCTTCACCACTAGGGGGAACGTCAAAAGTTCCACAAGCATTTAACCTACAAATCTTATCCAGCGGAAGCTCAGTGGCTATAACGACCTGTGAGTCCACAGTGGCTCCAATTGAGCGCACGTAGCTGTCCACATCAAACATGGGACAGAGGGAGCACCTATGAAGGGTCTTCTGAACATTGTCCCAAATGTAAGAATGTAGGCTGCTGCCTGCTGCCACCACCAGCCTCTGGCCATCCTGGGTCCAACATGCACAGTGAATGAGGCCTTGGGTGCTGACGTCCACTTTGACTTGGGAACTGTCACAGTGGACGTTGTAGAACACGGAGACATCCCAAGCAGTCAACACAGTCAGGATGGCACTTTCTGGGTGCCACACACAGCCCTGGGGAAGGACAGGGCATGACTGTCTGATCTCACAGGGCTGAGATATCAGCCACTTGCTTGTCTCTGCAGGGCTAGGACACAGCTGCCACACGATGACATACTTCCTGTGCTGGACAGCGAGCAGAGTGGGTATGTCAGTGGCACCAGGCGGGGCCCAGGACACCCCATACACCTGTTCAAACTGTCCAAGGACCATTGAGTCCCCCAATTTGGCCTCTCCACCGTGAAGCTGTAAACTGGTCAGGACTACCCGAGTCCCATCAGTCCAAGCAAGGCCGTGAATTGGGTGTATTGCTTGATATAATGCATTCAGTCCAGTCCTGAGAAGTTTTCCTTGTCCCAACTCCATCCTTTCTGATAAAGTTTCTCTGAAATAATTAAGAAGGAAAGTTACACCATGAAAATATAACCAGACAAATCCAGACAATTGGTTTAGCCTTTCTGTGAAATGTGAGACATGTCAAAACAGAGGATATCAGGATGACTCGACTCTTACTGAATATGCAAAAAGACAATATCCTATAAATACACCCAGCTACTGTAGGAATTTGCTGGCCAAATTAGAAGGAAAGGAAGAGAATAAACATATCCAGAATGTGCCATATGTGGCGCTAAGCCACCTGGAATTCAATACAATCCATGTAATAATCCAGTGAGGGTAGCACTATTATTCTTGTGTGAGACACAATAGAGCTGAAGCTCTATTAAGAAACTTGCCTTTCATATCTGATAACAAAACACCTTCCAGATAAATTAAAGATCCAAATGCAAAAAAAAAAAAAAAAATGTAAAAAATATAAGAGATTTAAAAGAAAAGACTTTTCACAGTACCATAAAAATACTCCAGCATGTATATGTATAAGGATTTACTATAGCATCTTTTATAAGAGAAAAATCTAAATGTACATCAATATGGAAATACATTAAAAAATAAGGAAGCTCCATGAATAATGATACAGAAAAATCCTCCCCAAAAGCAGTGAAATTCACAATATAACACATCTAGTAAGCTCCTATTTATGAAAAGAAATCCACCTCTCTATGTCTATATACATGTATTTGTATATATTTACATAAAGATGCAGAAAAAGATCAGAAATAACACATACCAAACTGTTCACAGTACATACTGAGAAGGAGTGAGATGGGAAAAGAGAGAAGGTGGAACCCTCTTTATTTCTGTATTTTTTGAAAAATTGTTTTTTAATAAGCATGTAGTCAAACAGTCCTTTTCTAATTGAAAAATGGAATTAAACATTCAAATGTGAAAAAATAATTTATGAAAAGTTCTTGTAAGCCAGTTAAAAAGACAAAATTTTAAGTGGCTGAAGAATATCAACAGGCAATTTGACATTATAAAGTAATTATGATGATGAATAAACACATTCTAAGTGATGTTTAATCTGAGAATGTTTAATCAAAGAATTGTCTAAACATGCAGTGTCCATTTCTTCACTACTCATTCTCTTCTTAACCCACTCCAAACTGATTCCATTCTCACCTCTTCTGAAACAACTCCCACCCTCCCACCAGTGCTACTCACATCACTGAATCTAATAGGTATTTTTCAACCCTGCCTGGTTTACTTAGCATCAAAGACAGAACTTTGAGAAGCTCTCTTCAGACTAAATCCAAAGAAATACATTCTCCACCAAACTAGTAGATATGATTTTCATTTATCTGCATTTTTTTCTCATACCTTTTTGCTAGCTTTGTCCCTACTCTTAGAATCTTTTACCAAGACAGAAAGGTCTGTTTTACTTCTACACATGATGTCAGATTAAGCGGTTCTGCAGTAGCTTGCTAAATGGAGAAATATGTCCTCTGTCATTACTAATGAAGAAGGCTGCCATCTCAAACTCATTGGTCTTGTGTAAGATAATATATATACTTCCCTAATATCTACTTATGCACTTTTAAAAGACTTTTATTGGTAAATAATGCATGATACATTTTCCTGGGCAGAGAAAATTTCTAATAGGCCAATTATGTATCAAAAGCAATTTATATGGTATGTTTTAGGCCACTCAAGTTAGTCTAATGTCATTGAGGGCATGTATGGCCAGGGTTAGCCCAGGGTAAGAGTTTGTGAATAAGGGAAAAACAAACTTGATAATAAAGTCACTGAAATTTTTTAGAAGAATTAATTTTAATATTTTTATCTTTAGTAACAAGAAGAAATTTGGTAAAAAATTTAGAGTTATCATATGATCCTGCAATCCCGCCCCCCCCCACCCACCCCCGGCCCCGCTCCACACCTGGGCATATAGCCAGAGAAAGCTATAATTCAAAAAGATACAAGCAACACAATGTTCACTGCAGCACTAATTATATAGACATATATATATATATAAAACTGAGTCACTGTGCTGTATAACTGAAACTAACATGATATTGTAAATAAATCATACTTCAATAAAATTAAAGTAAAAAATAAAAATGAAGGAAATTTGGCCTATATTCCTCAAACACCTAACAATAATTAGTCCAGGTTCTGACCACCTCCTGCTTTTCAGTAGAGGAGGATAAGGAGAAATTCTCTTCACCCCAGTCTCTTCTTTTCCACAGAGCCTGGACTCTTTGAGTGTTGGGCAGAACTATCTTGAGATGACCGGCTTGGACTATAGATGTCCTATGGACTGTAGCCCACCAGGCTCCTCTGTCCCTGGGATTTTCCAGGCAAGAGTACTGGTGTGGGTTGCCATTTCCTCCTCCAGGGGACCTTCCCAACCCAAGGACCAAACTCATATCTCCTGGGTCTCCTGCATTGCAGGTGGATTCTTTACCTCTGAGCCACCAAGGAAGCCCGAGAAAAGTCACAGCATCTGGTAATTCTGCATTTTTGCTCAAATATCTTTGATGAGTCTCCACAGTCTATACATATAAAGGTTCTTCCAAAATATTTTAGCAAAGCATTGAAGGCCTTATATTTTCTGATACTGCTATACCTTTCTAACCTTATCTCTGATCATAAAGGGCCTGCTGAAGAATTTGGAATTTAGAGAAACCAGTACACATACATGGAACATTGTGCAGAACGGACCTGAGAAACTAAGAAGTTGACAAGTTTAACAAGGGTCCATGGGCAGAAACTATTGCAATACTGCAAAGCACTTCACCTCCAATTAAAAATTAATCAATTAATTAATTTTTAAAATGGGGGACATAGATAATTTCAATGTCAGGATGAGAAAGTGAGCCAAGCTTGTAGCTACGAGATAATTTTAAGGCAACTGAAATAGATTATCAAGTGGAATGAGTGCAAAGGAAGAAAGGAGAATTAAGGACAACATACAAATTTTCAGCTTGGGAAACTGATGAACCATTAATCAGAGCTACAGAAGGCAGAGCATGCTTCAGAGGTAAGAACAATGTAGTGTGCAACAAGTTTAATGTGGGCTTCCCTGACGGCTTAGCAGTAAAGAATCTGCCTGTAATGCCGGAGACACAGGAGTTGCGGGTTCAATCCCTGGGTTGGGGGGAATCCCCTGGAGGAGGAAATGGCAACCTACCCAGTATTCTTGCTGGGAAAATCCCATGGACAGAGGAACCTGGCAGGATACAGTCCATAGGGTCGCAAAGAGTCGGACATGACTGAAGCAACTGAGCACGCAAACACATGCTTTATTTAAGACGTTTACAGGGTAGCAATGCACCTCAGGCAGTCAGAAGTAAGGATGTGGGAGTCACTGTTATAGAGCTAGTAGTAAAAAGATCAGAGAACCAAGAGGACAAAGACCTTCAGGTGTTACCTCAATTATTCTGTATCTTTTCAAATCTTTGCCTGAAGCTAACAGTATATACACCTGTTAATCTCTCCACCCTCAGATGATGAGGTTTCTCAAACCAGGAATCCTGGTTGCTCTACGAAGCAAAAAGGCTGAATGCATTCATTCAGGAGAGAGATGGCCAGAACCAGGATCTGGTGTTCAGTCTACAGACATTTAATTCTTCTGTTTCTAATCTTCTTTAAAGACAACTCATGGAACTTCCTTGGTAGTCCAGGGGCTAAGATTTTGCACTCCCAATGCAGGGGACCCAAGTTTAGTCCCTGGTCAAGGAGCTAGATCCCACGAGCTGCAACTAAGATGCAGCACAGCCAAAAAAAAAACCAAAAAACTAAGACAACTCATAGTGACAGTCAAGGGGCTCAGGTGAATTGGAGCGCTTCCAGTAAGTTTAAAGTTACATACTCCCCAACTTGTTTTTCCAAATTTACTGTGTTTTCATTATAAAATAATTCCAAGTTCTTTACACTTATTGTTTTAAATTAATACATAAGAAAGGTCAAAAGGACCTAGAAATTGTCATATTGAGTGAAAGTCAGAGAAAGACAAATTCCCATATGACATTGTTTATATGTAAAATCTTTAAAAATGGTACGAGTGAACTTATTTACAAAACAGAAATAGAGTCACAGTTGTAGAAAACAAATTTATGGTTAACAGGGAGGAAAGAGGGGGTAACTGGGGAGACTGGGATCGACATACACACTACTATATATAAAACAGATAACTAATAAGGACCTACTGTATAGTGTGAGCCTTCTCTGGTGGCTCAGATGGTAAAGAACCTGCCTGCCACGCAGAAGACTCGAGTTCAATCCCTGGATGGGGAAGATTTCCTGGAGAAGGAAATGTCAACCCATTCCAGTATTCTTGCCTAGGAGGCTACAGTCCATGGGGCCGCAAAAGAGTCCTCAATATGTAGAAACTAAACAACTGTATAGCACAGGGAAGTATTCTCAACACTCTGTAATCACTTTATTGAGAAAAGAACCTTAAAAAGGGGGGATATATGTGTATGTACAACTGATGCACTTGCTGCACAGCAGAAACGAACACATTTTAAATCGACTATACTCCGATAAATTTTTTTAAAGGTCAAAAGGTAAATTCTCTCACACACACACACACACACACACACACTCAAATTCAACAAAAGAAAATTATGACTGCAACCCTCCAGACATTTTTCTACGCAGCTGTTAAACTTTTTCACTCATACTGCACCATTTCATACCACGATTTTTTCGCTTCACATTATATTAGGATTTACCCATGTTATTTAAAAGCTTTATAAACTATTTTTAGAAGCCACTTCATACCACTTTTCCTCACTGTTGAGAAAGTGCCATAATTTTTCCTCACGGGTGAGATACCTGTTATACCCAACTTTATCTTTTTACAAATACCGCTGGGATAAAGGTGTTTATGAATAAAGCATGTTCATTTTGAATGGCTTCCTTAGGATATATTCCCAGAAGCGTCACTCTTGAGTCACAAGTAATATATTCTCTGGTTTAAACCCACCCCCTGCTCTTCCGCATCCAGCAGCCCTCTCACGTGGCCCCCCACCATTCTAGCCACCTTCTCCGCAACCTGTAACCCTTCCTCTAATCCGCGTCTGCCAAAGTGCAGATCTCTCCACTTCCGTCCCCGCCCACCTGGCCTCCCCTACAGCGGCCAGGCCGGAAAGCAGTAGAGACAAAATACCTTTGGTCTCACTGGCCCACGGACAATCAGTTTCCCCGCGGCCTCCGGAGCTCACAGACCTCCGACCCGAAGTCCCAAGCAGATTCCGGAAGCATCGGCTCCCAGAGCCCGGAAGGTGAGCCGGGCTGTACAAGCTCGGCAATTCCCCCCTGCCTATTGGCTATTGCTTGTGTCTCGTTATGAGACGGCTCTTCTCATTGGCCAATAAGCTCGAGCTTTGCCGCACAGACCTCTGGGAGTTGTATTCCGCCTGAAACGCCGTCGACGGTAACACTGCTATTGATACCGTTCCTCCCTTGAGAGGTTTAGCGCTTTCCCCCGCATCGTTTCGGTCCTCGTAGTCTAAGAAGGAGTCCGGGAGCCTTAGAGTCAACACGGTTTCTTAAGCTTTTCAGGGGAGCAGCGGGGAGGGGGAGGTAGAGAAGGAATTGAAGACCTCTTTAAAATCTCTTCAGAACGATGTTCTCCATACACAAAATAGGGTGTATGTAACTGACTTCGCTCCATGGACCTGCCCTAATTACAAACCGCTATTCTACACTTACCCCAGAAGTGCCTGCCCATAGCTACAATTCACTAGGCTTAAGGCCAGCTGTACCCCTGCCAGATTCTGGGCCACGCCTTGGGGCAGCTCATGGGGAATTTCAGATCCTGACCCTCACAATAGTTGATCATGTCTGTTGAACACACAGCCAGCCCTCCTTCGGATAATCTGAAGTCCGTGTGCCTTGACCATCTGGAAGAGAGGAGAGTGCGGAAGTGGGGGAGTACCACCTCTAGGGCTCGCTCTTTGCTCAGGGTTTTCTTCCTATGCCTGTCTTCCTGCTCCACTTGTCAGAACCATACCTTCGAATCAATTTTTGCAACAATGCATGAAGAGAGAGAAAAAATTGAAAGTTCCATTCATTTTTCCAAATGCTTACCTCCTCTAAAAAATACCTTTCTAGATTCCTGGGTCTCCTTTGGAAGGAGGTGAAGGGTCTGGTAGAAATCATTCATTCATTCATCCCTCAACTTAAATTACTCCAGGCGGTAACTGTTCGTGTCCTCATCACAGAGTGGATTCCTCCAGGACAACGATTCTGTCTTAATTCAGTTGGTATCCCCAGGGTGCAGTTCTCTGCCTTGAAAGGCGGGAGGCCACCTGTGCCTACCTAAGACCTATGCAGGATAGAGTGTAGGGGTGTAGGTGGGTGGGGGAGAGTCAGTAATTGCTGGTTTATTTTCCACCCACCCCTTCCACCACCCCGGCAACTTGCCCCTACAGATTCCAGCATCCTAGCTAGGGTAGGTACCTCTTTGGTGCTTCCATGACGTTCTGAACTCTATAGCAGTGAACGCAGTTAATTAAAGCGTTGGTTTAGTTGCTGGCCCTCTCCACCTACCTGTGAGACCAAGTTGACTGCTTCCCCTACCCCCCACCCCCACCCCCAGCTTAACACAGAGCTGTTGTTCAGTTGCTCAATGGTGTCCCATGCTTTGCAACCCCATGGACTGCAGCACTCCAGGCTTCCCTGTCCTTCACCATCTCCCGGAGCTTGCTCAAACTCATATCCATTCTGTCGGTGATGCCATCCAACCCCAACGTCCTCTGTCGTCGCCTTTTCCTCCTGCCTTCAATCTTTCCCAGCTGGTAAAGAATCCGCCTGCAATGCGGGACACCTGGGTTCGATCCCCGGGTTGGGAAGATTCCCTGGAGAAGGGAAAAGCTTCCCATTCCAGTACTGTGGCCTAGAGAATTCCAAGGACTATACAGGAATATTCAGGGTTGATTTCCTTTAGGATTGACTGGCTTGATCTCCTTGCAGTCTAAGGGACTCTTAAGAGCCTTCTCCAGCACCACAGTTAAGCATTAATTATTCGAGGCTCAACCTTCTTTATGGTCCAACTCTCGCATTCATACATGACTACTGGAAAAACTATAGCTTTGACTATAGTAGTTGCTACATAAATAGGTGTTGACAGATGGATGGATGGAGGGAGGGAGAGAGGGAGGGACAGATGGGTGGGTAGATGCACTAGAGTCTGCATGCCTTCCTCAACATCTTCCCCAATCAGTGGGTTAATGATCGTTAGCCTGGTCAAGCACTGGAGCAGTCGCTTCAGGGTCGCTTCCCCCCCGGGCCCCGCCCCGGTCGACCCCACCTTTCCGCGCCGCCCCGCCCCGCCGCCCCGTTCCCGGTGGCCCCTCCCTGCGCAGGTCCCGACTCCAGCCGCACCTCCTCCGACTCTGCAGTGGCGGCGGGGAGGCGAGCCGGAGCGCCAGCGGGCCGGGGCCGGAGCCGAGCCGGGGTCGGGGCAGCAGCAGGGACCCTCGGAGGCGGGGCCAGTGGGACCGCGATGGGCGTGGAGATCGAGACCATCTCCCCCGGAGACGGTACCGGGTGGCGGGGCCGGGGGAGGAGGAGGGGTCTCGGGGCATGGCGCGGGAGGGGTGCTGAACAGGGGGAGCGGGCCTAGGATGGGGGCGGCGGGAGATGACCAGAGATGGGATTGTTGGGGGTTCTAGCAGACATCCTTCGCCATCCCCATCCGTGCTTGCTCACCTAGAGGAACGAAGGCGGCGGCTGGGAGGCTGGGGTCTGCGGCCCGCCACCGCCCCGGGCGCCTCTGACTGACGCGGCTGCGGCTGGAAACGCTCGGTTATCCGCTGCTGCTGATTTCCTAGGGCCGGGTTACAGCTCCGCTTTCCCTGCCCTGCTGGGTGAGCTCTGGAAACGGGGAAAAGAGATGTTTTGGGATCTTTTCTGCTCGGGGCAGCCCCCTCCTAACGCGCCCGCTTCCGGGCCTCTGATCGGGCGGCCCCCCGGGATTTGGGCGGTGAGACGCTGTAGGGACCGAGCCAGTCTGGAAAAGGCGGAGCGCTTCCTCCACTGTCTCTGCATCTTGTTTTATGCTCCCTGCCCCACTCAGCCTCTCCGGCCAGCCTGTCCAGTCCCACGGCTTTCATGAGCGGCTGAAACCGATGGCCCCCAAACTTAAGCGTTCAGCCCAGGCCTCGGATTTGAGTTCACGGTGGTCCGTTTATCCAGCCGCTGCTCAGCCTCTACCTGGAAGTCCCACGGATTCCTCAAAGTCAGCGAGTCCAAAACAGAACTCCTGCTCCTGGTCTTCCCCACACCCAGGCGCTCCTCTGTGTTCCCTTGCTTCCTGCCTTGGGTTGGCACCCCTCACTTTCCCAAGCCTGGCATCCCAGGCATCACCCTTGTGTAACTGAGTTTGGATGTGCCAGGAGTAGCTTTCTCCATTTCTTAAACCAACCTTAATTCAGACTGGAGCCCACATTTCTGCAGGATTTGACAGGCAAACTGCATGTCAGGCAGTGTTAACACTCCCCCACCCCCAGGAAATTAGAAGGACTCTTGGCTTCTGGCCACCCTCTTTATTTAAAAGCAGTGGTCCCTAGGAGTCCCAGCCAGGACCTTGGATCACTCCAGAGGTACATGCTTCTTTTTCTATGCTGGGAACCTCTGTACTGGGTCCCAGGAAGCTTCTCCCTGAGGTCTTTATACCTCCTCCCCTCCGCCACCCAGGGCACTGCCTTAGAGTTCTGCCAGGGGCCACCAGGCCTCTTCTCCTTTCCCTGGCTCAAAGAAGCCTTTGGAGTTTTCTCTCCTTATCCTCCCTCCCTGGCTAGAGACAAGGGGCATTTTCTCTTGAAGTGGATCAGAATTTTAGGGAAAGCCTGGAGAAACTTTCCAGGTGGCACTAGTGGTAAAGAACCCACCTGTCAATGCAAGGAGACATAATAGAACTGGGTTCAATCTCTGGGTTAGGAAGATACTCTGGAGGAGGAAATGGCAACCCACTCCAGTATTCTTGCCTGGAGAATCCCATGGACAGGCTACAGTTCATAGGGTGGCAAAGTGTCAGACATGACTGAAGTGACTTAGCACAGAGGAACTTTGGGCTTCTGATTTTACTTCAGTCTAAACCCCCAAGTCAAGGAAGCACAGAAGGGCCAGCTACCATGCGGTAACCCAGAGTGGGAGAATGCACCAATTAATATGTCAATAATGATGCTGCTGTGCTGAGGATGTCTGTCTTGGTCGAGCCTACAACAAGTCCTGCCTACTTCTCCTGCTGAGTATCTTGAAGACTCCATCTCCTCAGCCTCTGCCCTAGTTCCGGCCACTGTCATCTCTCACCCGGATTTCCGCAGTGTCTAAACTGGTCTTCCCACCTCCAGTCTCACCTCCTGGCCTTCCGTCTGGCCTCCCACCTCACCCCCACAGTTTTCTCCACCACAGCCTGAGCACTCTTTAAAATGCATATCTGATCATGCCCCTCTCTGGGCATAAAATGCTTTAAGGAATCTTCCTTTTTCTCCAGGCAGATAGATACAGCCTTCTGTTACCTTCCACACTGGACCCTCATCTCTCACTAGCAGCCCCTACCCCTACCGCCAACTTCTCTCCAGCTTTATCGAACTGTCTGCAATTTGTTAAACACACCAGCCATTCAGCAAATATTTATTGAGCATATACTCTGTGCTAGACCTTAAGGTTACAGCAGGAAACCAGACAGGCTCCCATTACTGCATGACTCGAAGCCTTTGAACATGTGGTTCACTCTTCCCAAATTATCTCCCTTACTTCCTCTGGCAGGTTACTCATATTTTAAGACCCAGTTTAACCATTATCTCCTTTCCGATACTTTCCCTGACACTAGTTAGTTGCTCCCTCCCTGGGGCCTCATCTACATGTTGGCTCAGCTGTTTATCCTCCCAAGGCTTTGTTATCCAGTCCCATGGCCTTTAGATCCCACCCAAATTTATAGCTCCAGTGCAGACTCTCCATCTGCCTACTTGCAGTACAAGCTCGTATGTCTTAATAGGTATTTCAAGATTGCCACCTGCACAAATCTGTGCATCGTCAGTCCTCCCCATCTCAGGAATCAGCTCCTCCAGCCTTACAGTCACCTACCCTAAAACCCTAACATCATGCTTCTCCCTCATCCTGGATCCCCTTCTCCATGCCATTAGCATGCCCTGTCAGCTCCAATTCCAAAATATATCTCCCATCTATTTTACTCTCTTCTCTGCTGCCAACCACTTTAATTCAAGCCATCATTGATTTTCTGTCTGGATTATTGCAATAGGCGCCTAACTGTCCATCCTACACAGAGCAGCCAGAGTGATCTTATAAAATCTTAATTCAGATTATGTCATTCTCTTGCTTAAAGCCCTCCCATGCCTTCTTGTTGCACTTAAAGAATTTGCAGAATTAAATCCAGCACTGCAAGGCCAGGTATGATCTGGCTCTTTCCCACTTGTCTCCACCTCCTTCCCGTCTTTCCAGTCATGTAGGCTCCTTTCATTCTGTAAATGCATTGATCCTTTCCTGCTTCACGGTTTATGCACTGCCTGCTTCTTCTTCCCGCAGTGCTTCTCCCAGTGTGCTCCTCATCCTTCAAGTCTCAGTTAAAATGTCATCTCCTCTGAGAGGCTGTCCTGGACCAGCCATTCTGAAATGACCTGTCCCACTGTATCTCTCTGCAATTCATCATTGTGTTTATTTTCTCTAGAGAACTTATCACAATCTATGTTGTCTTATTTATTTGAGTATTGTTTGTCTCCCTCCATTAGAATGTAAATTCCTAAAGAGTAGCAATCTTGTCTGGCCTGTGTAACTCACTGTTGTGTCCTGAGATCAGGCCTTACAGAGCAGGTATTCAATAAATATTTGTGAGTGATACTGTTTATTCAGAATCATCGGGCTTCCCTGATAGCTCAGTTGGTAAAGAATCCGCCTCCAATGCAGGAGACCCCAGTTCAGTTCCTGGGTCGGGAAGATCCGCTGGAGAATGGAAAGGCTACCCACTCCAGTATCCTCACCTGGAGAATTCCAAGGACTGTATAGTCCATGCAGTCGCAAAGAGTCGGACATGACTGAGTGACCTTCACTGTTTATTCATCCTCGTGCAGTTGTCACCCTACGTTATAATCTATTATTTATTCATCTATTTCCCTAACCTCATTGTGAGTTCATAGATTGCTCTGTGTCTCTGGAATCTAGTCCAGGCCTGCCAGATAGTAGGCTGTCAGGTTTGTGGAATGGATGGGGGAAAGTAAAAAGAGCAATCAAAGAAAGGGAAACAACCAGGAGAGAGCGAAGTTGTGGAACCCAAGGAAATAAAGTTCAGATCAAGGCCAGAGAAGTGAAGTGGCTCATGCAAAGCACAGAGCCAGAACTGGAGCCATGGGCTTCTCTGTGGTATGGAGGGGAATGTGGGTCAGAGCTCTTGGTCACAAGTCACACCTGAAATGTCCCCGGTGACTTTTCCCAATTTGCTGTTCATTCCTGGATCTCTGTGTCTCCTTGCAGGAAGGACATTCCCCAAGAAGGGCCAGACGTGTGTGGTGCACTACACAGGTAGGCTTCGCCCCCTACGCTGTCATCCAAACCTGCCCCTCTGCAGGCAGGTCTCTACTCTGATACCTCTCCAGAGGTATCTGCTCCCCTGGATCGGGCCCAAAGCCCAGGGCAGCCAAGTCTTCCTCTGACCAGCTATCCCCATCTCCCCCAGTCAGCCTTGAGGGAATGAGAAAGGGCACTGGCAAGGTTAATCCCTCCCCTCTTCTACCAACAAGAGCCACCATGGTACCAGCCTCTGACAGAGCCAGCCATCTTCATTTCCCTTCTGTCTGTTGTAGGCAGGATGGAGCCCTGGTCCCCCTGGTTCTGTATGATACTTGGAAATTCCTCTTATAGCTCTCAGCGCCCTGACCCCCCTTCAGACTTCCTTTTCATCCTACAGTGTTATGAAAGAAGTGAAGTCTCAACTTTTTCAGAATCCCCTTTCTTTTTTGGGAAATAGACTATTCAGTCTACTCTTACTGAACACTTAACTGCGTACGAGAGGTTGTGCTGATCAGTGGGGACACAAACATGAAACAAGAGGACCCCTACCTTCACCAGGGCTGTGGGCATTGGGGAGCGCAGTGCCTGTGGTGCTGTGGGAGTGGAGGAGGGCCCACATCTCTGCTGAGCTCTCATGCATGATCTGGATTGGAAGGCCAGGTGGACTGAGGAACATTCTAGTTGGAGTTCCTGAGGACTGCTGGCCGAAGATCGCTGAGCAGATGTTTGTTCCAAGGGGAGTGCAGGGGGAGTGCTCTGCCTTGTGACCTTCCCATTGTCGCGAACTTGGTGACAGCCACTTCGCAGACAGCAAGGCCAGTTTAATTCCTAGGATAGAGTCAGATGGGGGCCATTTTTAGCACTTCTCTGGGCCAATGTGAAGTGCCAGTTTAATTCTAGGCAAACAGTGTGGGTATTTCTCCACAGCTATGTTCCCAGTGGCTGACGTCAGTGGGCTGGAGCTGTGTTTCATCTCCCGGTGATGTGTCCTAATTACCATGAGCCTTCTGGGGCCTCTGACCTGTGTAATTGATTTATCTGTTCTACATGTTGCAGACATACCGGTACTTATCAAGTTACCGAAACCACAACATCCTTTTGTAAAGACTTTTCACAATACATGCAGACAGGAGGCAATGTGTATTAAATACTAACATTAGATGTGGGCGGCTCTGGTCTGAGGAGGGACTGTCTCATCAAACCGAGTCGGAGACTGGGACTTTTTGGTAAACTTTATTATATGTAAATACACCAGAGAACATAACTCTAAGATGTACAGCTTGATGAAATTTTTCAAAAGTGATCACACTTATGTAACCACCCCCCAGATCAACAGACCTTTCCAGCACCTCCTGGTCTTTCCCCTATGCCTCCTCCCAGTCATTTGCTTGTGCATGCTAAGTTGCTTCAGTCGTGTCAGACTCTTTGCGACTGTATGGACTGTAGCCCACTAGATGCCTCTGTCCATGGGATTCTCCAGGCAAGAATACTGGTGTGGGTTGCCAGGCCCTCCTCCAGGGTATCTTCCCAACCCAGGGTTCGAACCCGCATCTTTTACGTCTCCTGCATCTCCTGCATTGGCAGGGGGATTCTTTACCACTGGTGCCACCTGGGAACCACCCCCCCAGCCCCCGCCCACCCCACCAGTCATTACATCTCCCTAAAGGTAACTAGCATTCTAACTTTTTGTCCCTATGGATTGGTTTCATCTCAAAGAGTATGTACTCTTTTGTTTTTGGGTTGTTTCACTCATTAGGTCTCTTATTTCATTTTTTATGTGCGTGAGATTTATCCAGGAGTTTGCTCTTTTTTATTCCTGTACAGGTCATTGTATGAGTATGTTGCAATTTATCCTTTCTACAGTTGATGAACATTTGGATTGTTAGTTTTTAGACATTATGAATAGTGTTGCTTTGAAGAGTCTTCTAGATGTCTTCTGGTTCATATATGTAGACAACCTGGTTGGCTATACGTAGAAGTGGAATTGCTGGGGCACAGGGTTATACCTGCTCAGAGGTAGCAGATCCTACCGCATAGCTTTCCAAAGTAGTTGTGCCAGTTTCCACTGCCACCAGCCATGTCTGAGCATTCCAGTTCTCCGGCATCCTCATCACTGCTTGGTATCATCAGGTTTTTGTTTTGATTTTGGCCCTCTCTGGTGGGCTCCCAGGGTATCTCCTGGTGGTTTTGATTTGCACAGGCCTGATGGTTAAGGAAATTGAGTACCCTTTCATGTGCTTCCTGGTCATTTGGATGTCTTCTGTAGTTCACCTAAATTTTGTCCACTTAAGAAAAAATTAGGTTGTCTGTCTTTATCTTACTGATCTGTAGGAATTCCTTTGTATTCTGGATTTGAGTCCTTTGTTGGCTATACCTATTCAAAACATCTCCTATTCCAAACATATACCTATTCCAAAACATCTGTTTTTCTTTACTCCTTTGTTGGCATCCTTTGAGCAGATTTCTTTTTTCAAATTTTTATTTATTTATTTGGCTGCAGTGGGTCTTAATTGCAGCATGTGAGACCCTCTATCTTTGTTGCAGCATGCAGGATCTTTTAAAAAATATATAGATTTATTTATTTGGCTGTGCTGGGTCTTCATTGCAGCACATGAGATCCTTTAGTTGTGGCATGCAGGATCCGGATCCTAGTTCCCTGACCTGGGTTTGAACCCAGGCTCCCTACATTGGAAGCACAGAATCTCAGTCATTGGACCACTAGAGAAGTCCCACTTTGAACAGAATTCTTAATTTTAATGAAGTTCTACATATGAATCTTTTCTTTTGCAGTTAGTAATTTTGTGTTCAGAAATCTTTGTCTATCCTAGGTGATGAAGCTCTAGCTCTTCTTCTATTTATTGTGTCATAGAAGCTTTATTATTTTATCTTTCATATTTAGGCCTGTGATTCATCTGGAATTGATTTTTATGTGTGGGTGAATTAGGGGTTCACTTTGACCGTTCATTTTCCCTCATATGTCAATCAGCAACATTAATTAAAAAATCACCCTTTGTCCATTACATTTCAGCGGCACCTTTGCTAAATCCAATCACCATGTGTCTGTGGTTTCTAAACTGCATGGTTTTGACTAAACCTGCTGCAGTAGATAAAAGTTTATGGTCTGAAGTGGTTTAAGTCATAGAAACCTGAAGAGTATGAGGAATGAGAAAATCAGTCTTTAAATGGAGGGTGTGAATGTATGAGTGTGTGTATGTGCATATCCATATGTGTACTATATAGGTTTGTGTCTGTGTGACTGTATTATATCTATGTATCTAAATATTTTCTTAGCATCTGTTTGGCCATCAGGGTTTTCTTCTGAGTGCATGTGCATAAATGTATGTGAGCATGCATGCGCATCTCTGAATATCTTAGCAACCTGTGTGTATGCTTGAGTTTGTATTTGATCTGGTACATTTGATACAGAAGTTTCCATCTGTGTGTGTCTCTGTGTAGCAATAGGGTTTTCTTCTTTGCCTGATTTAGTACCCAGGGAAAGAGCCCAATTTATTCTGCCCAGAAAATAGGTAAATAAGAATGTCTCTTGTATACATTCATATTGTAGGAATTAGGATGTGGAATCACAGATGCTTAGACACTAGACCTCTCATGTGAAACATGGTAAATCTGAGATCAGAGAGACATTGATCTGCCTAAGTTCACACAGTGAGTTAGTGCCAGAGTGAAGTCAGAATCTAGTCTCTGAACTTACAAGCTAGATCTTTCTCTGGTCCCAGATTGCCTTCTGTTGTGGTCCAGGGGCCATGAGAAGAAGTTGTGAAATAGCATCCTTTGCAGAATGTCTAATATTTGAGCTAGAAACACCAGTAAGAACAGAAAACAGAAAAGCAGCTCTTGCTTCTTAGGCAGCTGGACTGAGACAACACATGTATGTACATCAAGAATGACAAGATATCTGCAGTTGGAGGCTGAGGGATGCTTCAGTCTGCTAAGAAAACACTGAGGGTGTCCTGAGTTCACACGGTCCTTTTGTATGAGGTGTGGAGGTTGCCCCTGACTGGCTGGGTCACTTTACACTGTTCACTGCAATAAAGGATGATACGACCTTTGGGTTTTGCGTAGTGAGGGAACCTTGAGAATATCAGGTGAAGACTCAACCTGAAACTGAAATGTCTGGGAAAACAGACCATCAGGCTAAGGAAGGTGCATAAAAAAAGTTGTAATGTGCAGAAGTACTTGAGAAAGGTCTGACCTCAATAGGGAAGAGAAGGGGAGAAGGGGAGGACAGAGAGAAGTTGTCAGGCAGGCAGTAGCTAGATCTTAAAGTGCCTGGATAGTGTAGGCATTCGGATTCTGCCTCAGGGAAGTTACAAAAGCAAGGGAATAATAGGGTTAGGCACTTGCACGGGCCTTGCGTGTGCGTGCATGTGTGTGTGTTTGTGTGTGTGTGTGTGTGTGTGTGTGTTTTAAACCATTCTGGGTGCAGTGTGGAGAAGGGAATGGAGGAATAAAAGCAAAGCAACAAGACTAATTAGAGTCGGTTCCTGTTCACAGGTGAGGTGTTATAGTGGCTTGATGAGACCACAGGGTGGTGATAATAAAAGTAGAGAAAATAGCTGGACTTCAAAGATATGTACCATTTGGTGACGGCAGGATGTGGAAGTATCCAGGTTTCTTGCTTAGTCAATGGGATGGATGGGGAGGACTGGAAGACAGCACATTTGTACAGAATAGGAATTCCATACTAGACATGTTGAACCTGAAATGGGAGTTATCTCATGACCACAGCTCTTTTCCACCCTATCCTTGCTTTCATAGGAATGCTTCAAAATGGCAAGAAATTCGATTCATCCAGAGACAGAAACAAGCCTTTCAAGTTCAGAATTGGCAAACAGGAAGTCATCAAGGGTTTTGAAGAGGGGGCAGCCCAGGTAAGATGAGGATCCTTGTTGAGGGGGGTTTGAGCAGCTGGGGGTCTGGGCTCTGCACGCTGCCCTCCACCCTCCCCCATCACAGACTACCACTGCTTTGACTCCACTGCCAGGGCTTGGCAATGCCACCTAGTTTCAGTCCTGGCTTTGTGTCCCCACCCCTTTTGTTGCCCGTCACTTGGGGCTGTCTTCCCAAGCATATCCCTCTAGTTCTGAGCAAGCCTGTGAGCTACTAGCTGTTCAGGACTGAAGCAGCAGAAGAGGTGGGGTAGGCTACTGTGTTTAGGGTTCTTTTTAACTTAAAAAAAAAAAGTGCCAATTTCAGACTTGCAAAAATATTATACATGAGTAGAGTTCTCATATACTCTTTACCCAGCTTCCCTAAATGTTAATGTTTTACATAACCATAGTACCATGAACAAAACCAGGACATTAACATTGATATAATGCTATTAGCCAATCTGTTCAAATTTTTGAGTCAGTTATTCAAAATTTAAAAATTGATTATTCAAATTTCACCAGTTGTCCCACTAATGCCAGACAAATCCTTGAGGACTGCTGTGATGAGCCCTGGTTCAGGCTCTTCTTCCTTCCTTTATGAAGTCATGTGATGTTCCTTGCTGTGCCTTCTAATCTCTTAATCTAATGAATTTGTCCCAGCACCTACATGAGTATATACATGCATATATGGTCTTTACGCATCCTCCGTAGGCTTCTTTGAAAGAAGAAAGAAAAATTATGAACAGATTGAAGTGTTGAGGTGCACTCTAACTGGATAACCAGCATTGTTTGCTGGATCAATGAATTTGAGACTACAGTGTTGAAGTTACTGTCTGTAGTCACGTCTCTGCTAGTCTGGGGTGCAATCTGCCTTGGTTACAATTCTTAGCATCACTTCAGTGTGCCCCGTATAAAATTCATCTCAGATCTTCAGGGTTACCATGAGGATGGTTTGGGAAAATGACATAGTTACCTTACTTTTTTCTTTTAAATCAAGCTGGGTCCTCTTTCTCCTCTCCCCATCTGCCCCCATCCCTGCTAGATGAGCTTGGGGCAGAGGGCGAAGCTGACCTGCACTCCCGATGTGGCATATGGAGCCACAGGCCACCCCGGTGTCATCCCTCCCAATGCCACCCTCATCTTTGACGTGGAGCTGCTCAACCTAGAGTGAAGGCAGGAAGGAACTGAAGGTGGCTGGAGATGGCTGCTGCTCACCCTCCTAGCCTGCTCGGCCACTGGGACGGCTCCTCCTGCTTGGGGCTCTTGATCAGTGCGCTAACCTCACTGCCCCATGGCATTATCCATTCTCTCTGCCCAAGTTGCTCTGTGTTCCGTCACTGTTCACGCTAATCTTTGCTTGAGGAAACTTTGGTTGCAGATTGAAATGTTTCAGGTTGTGCATTTTGCGTGGTGCATGTAGTAGCCATTCCTGATCACAGAACAGATTTCTTGTTCGCACAATCTACACTGCCTTACTTTTACTTAAGCCAGACACACAAGGTGCTCAGACATGAAATGTACGTGCTGTACACAGAGGGACTTGAGCCAGTTACCTTTGCTGTCACTTTCTCTCTTGGAAGTTCTGCTCACTTAAACAATGTCCTCTTTGGAAATGGTATCTAAAATAAAGGCTCTGTGCTTGACAAATGCCTGTCCATCCTTACTGAAGGTAGGAAGTGCTTTAAGTGTACTCAGACACTCAGTTGTGTCTGACTTTTTGTGACATCATGGACTGACAGTCTGCCAGGCTCTTCTGTTCATGGGATTCTCCTGGCCAGAATATTGGAGTGGGGTGCCATTTCCTCCAAGGGATCTTCTCAACCCAGGGATCAAATCCGCATCTCTTAGGTCTGATGTATGTGGTCCTTAAAGGAAGTATTTTAAGGACCACAGTCATTAAAGGAAGCGCTTTAAGGACCACATAAGTCAGTTGCCCTTGCGGAAAATAATGGAAAAGAGAAGTAGCCAGGAGAGTGATATTATATAATACAGGTTTCCCCATTATCCGAAAGTAGAAAGTACAGCATGCCTATGAAACCTTTTGTAAGCTGAAATGGTGTGAAGCGAAGAAGCAGTTACACTAGGGCACATCTTGCTAATGGATGCACAAAATACATCAAGATAAGAGCACAGATGCTCACAGACACAGTTCAAAGCTATGACAGCTTGCTACCGAGATGCTGTGTAATTCTTGGGGAAGGAGCTGGGTGGTGTCAGTCACTGCTAAGGGTTCATGCTGCTTCTTAACCACTCTGAATGCTATTTTTGCTTTTCTCCTTGTATCATAAAAGCAAAAATCCTCTCTGGATTCCTTTGGGTAGTGAAAACAGGTATTCATGTAGGTCTTTTCTAAAAGTGAAGTGGCATGAAGTAAACTTTCAAAAGTTCATGTAGCATACATACCACTCCGAAGTACCTATTGTACTTAATGGGCCTTGTTCTATTCTTATTTTTTTTTCTAATTTTAAAATAAAAACTGCCACCAACCCTCTAAGCAGCCCTGCTGCTGCTTCTGTTAAGTTGCTTCAGTCATGTCCGACTGTGTGTGACCCCATAGACAGCAACCACCAGGGTCCTCTGTCCCTGGGATTCTCCACGCAAGAATACTGGAGTGGGTTGCCATTTCCTTCTCCAATGCATGCATGCATGCTAAGTCGCTTCAGTCGTGTCTGACTCTGTGCGACCCCATGGACAGCAGCCCACCAGGCTTCTCTGTCCACGGGATTCTCTAGGCAAGAATACTGAAGTGGGTTGCCATTTCCTTCTCCACTAAGCAGCCCTACAAGGTAGGTTACTGCTTGCCACTCAATCTCACAGGCTCAGAATTCTCTTCAGAGTAACTGTAACTAAAGGAATACATTTTGTCCAAACCCCATAGCTTAGTCATCAAATGCTGGATTTGAGCACTTCAGGTGATCGATCATGAAATCTACGTTTGGACTTAACGAGATGAGCTGCCTTCTTGGAAAAGTGCACTTTGTGCATCTAAAGAAATGATGATGTGCTACACTTCAAAGCCATAGACTAACTCACATTGGGACATTACTTGTGATAATAAGTATGTACTTATTTTCATCTACAGTTGCTCTAACTTTATACTGGAGCATTACTTCTGAGAAGAATATATGATTCTGAACTTGTTTCTATCTCTGCTGTTTATTAATATTTTCATCTGCCTTTACTGTAACTTACCGGAACTTCCAGTTAGGTTTTAAAACCAGCCTGCTGATTGATATGGGTTCTGTATGTCAGGGGAGCCCATGGCAATGTAGCTAAGAGATTTTTCTTTTAGTTGGCCTGAGTGAGAAAAGCTCTTGGCCATCATCAGAGTTCTTCTGTCAGTGATGTCTTAGAATTGTTTCAAGACTGAGGGAGGGGCAAGTGCTGTTAAATTTCCTTCATAGACTCGTTGAGAACAGATCACGAAATGTGTCATGTATGTGTATGACACAACATGTTGGCTATTTTATCAATCCCTTTTGTCTCCAAAAAGTCCTGGCTGTATTCCTCTGCTGAGGACTGATAAGCTAATGAAGAAGCAGTGCTTTAAGATGGAGAAAATGAAATGAGAAAGGGGCTGCTTTGCTTTCAGTCACCAGTCCCTATGCTCACCTCTATGGTGGGACCAGACCAGTCAGCAGGTGCTACACTCACTCCTTTCTGGGGTGTTTCCTTCAGAATGTCTTGGTTCCTCGCTTTCCTCAATGATACAAAAGGCCTATGAGAATTCCTCAGAAGTCAGCCTGTATAAAAGATTATCATCATGTTTTCTGCTGTGACACCAATAAGATAACTAAAAGTAGCACCAAGGACCATTTCAGGTGCCCATTATGGAGTCAAGTAAATGATCTCAGTCTAGAGTACTCATAGCCGAGGTGGTAACAAGAGACACTAACAGGAGCGGGAAATAAAAGCAAATACCTACTGGCTAGCACGTGGAGAGGGTAGGGCCCTAGGCTTCACAGGCCCTGCTTTACTGACACTCTTAAAAGATAACACAGAAAATTGTGATGCAATATGACAAGGGTTTGGGCATGATCCTGTGAGAGCCACCAAAAGTTGTTAAGCAAGAAGGTGATGATGAAATATATGTCGTATCGGTCACTTTCATACTTTCAATGAATTCTCTATTCATACAAAATCTTTCTTGGAAACTTGAAATGTAACCTACATGGATGTAAAGCAGCTCTGGCACATGTGTGTGTGTATACACATGCACATGAACACAATCATTCCCTTTTTTTTAAGCTCCCCAGGTGGCTTCGATGTCCCCCTGGATTTATTTTTAAGATTTTTTAATACAGACCATTTTTAAAGTCTTTGTTACAGTATTGCTTCTGTTTTATGTTCTGTTTTTTTTTTGGTCACAAAGCATGTGGGATCTTAGCTCTCAGACAAGAAATCGAACCCACATCCCCTGCCTTGGAAGGTGAAGTATTAACCACTGGACTGCCAGGAAAGTCCCAATTCCTTGTACTCTTAAAAAGCATTTTGAGAAACTGCGCCTTCAATGCCTGGTCCAGAGGACTGGCTGTAACTGTGTCCTCAGCATTTCAGTACACAGAGAACAGAGCAGGGGCTCAGGATGTGTCCACTGAACTAATGTTCTTGTAACGTAACTGGAACTGGCTAAAAATTTCCAATTAGAGGGCATTTTTAAAAAACTTTTAACTTTAGGTCATGGAATTCAACTAACAGATATATAATCCAAATGATACACCAGTTATAACTCTCAGGAATTCCCCCTTGTTACTAATTTAAAACAACTTATATTAGGGACAAGTCAGTCTATAGACAAACCACATTGTAAGTAGGTCTAATTTGTTTACCCCTTACAAAAGTCTTTTAGAAAATTCTTTTTATATTTATAAATACCTAAAAGCACACTGGGCATTACAAAAATAAGGAACTCATAAAAGCATTCACAAGAAAATTACAGCTGTGGCTCCTTTGTCATCTGCCTGCCCTTCTTAGAAAGGACTCTTTTCTACTCTTTAACAGTGCTTTCAAAAAGCACTCAGACAGAGTTAATAAATAAGACAATTATTTCTTGATTTTCAATAGTAGGCTTTGAGAAAACAGTACAAAAAGTACAAAATAGTCTATTTTCTTGCAGTAATGATAGATTTCAAAGCTAAATGCATTTAAAAGTCGAAGAGGCTTTGTCCATTTAAATGATTCAGTGCTTGTATCTTTCAAATTGATTTTGCGTTATAGTTATATACAAAACAATTAGTCCATGTTTCTCCATTTGGCCCATGCCTAAACTATAAAAAGAAAATTATAGCTATCTCCTCCAAGCTGCTGAGCTATGATGAATGTGGTAATAAACATACTATTTCCATGCCATGGGAGTTTGTGATTATAAGACTAAGCATTAAGTATTTTATTTATGGCAAAGATATACTATGAGCTAAGGTCCAAAATATACACACACACTTATTAACTAAAGGGAAAGAATACATAAATACATCTTAGACATGTAACAACAAATACCACCACCCTGGCAGCTTGCTCTCCCATTTCTAACAATGTGTTATCAATCTGAATGACCATTTCTAGAATAAACCTCTAAGGACAAGGGTACCAATGCTGACAAAGGCATTTCACTAACTGTAAACCAAGTATCATTCAAATGTACTCATGTGGTTAATAACTAGTTGATGTCAAAAAACATTTTATTCATTCACTCAACATGATAAACTTTGGTTTCCTTATCTGCAAAAGGGAGATACCTACCTTCACTGAGTTATTATGTAGATTTCATTATTAATAGACATTCAATAAGTAACAATACTCTTAAGTTCCCCTGATGGCTAAGCACTGGACTGGTCACTGGTAGTACTGAGAATATCAAAAGGTCTCCATTCTCAAGAAGCTTAGTCTCTAGGACCACCTACTACTGAATAATTCTTGATATGGTTCAACTGCTGTTTTATTATCTTTTTTTTCTGGTATAATATAGGAGAAATTTTAAGAGAAAACACTGACATGTTTTACCAAAAGCTACAAGTTTATTAACATAATATATTCTAACATATATCAGTTTCAAGTGGGTCTTTTTCAATCTCAAATAAGAAATCACAATATTCAGCATTTAAAGAAAAAAAAAAAGTGGTAGTCATTCATGGGTTTTAGTCCAAAGTGAAAATGCACAAAACGTTTACTTTGGTGGATCTGTGTTGATGCCATATTTCTCCTTAAGAAGCTTCAACTGTTCTTCCTTCTTCTTTGTGTCCATCTTCTGAAATGCCTGAAAGTGTGGTAAGGGCCACAGTTAACAGTTACCAACCTACCGTCAAATGAATTTCACCAACAGCACTGGCTAGAGAGGACTCTGGAGAAACATCTCCCCTAATGGTGCAACCCCCCACTAACTCTTACATGGGTCCCCCAGGTGATGAGGACCGTGCCTGTACTTACCCTGTTGGCATTATAGTACAAAACCACAAGGTATCTGTTACAAACATTGAATCCCGACAGGTGATCACATGCATTCTTGGCATCAAAGATGTCTTCATAGACCACATAAGCTGTTCCTCTAGTTTCAGGTGTGTTCCCCCTACAAAGGTGAATTGGACTTAGTTAGAATACACATTTACCTGAAAACCTTTAGGGGAAATAGATACTATGGACAGGTATGCTGA